TAGGTTAGGAGTAAGGGTTTGAATTCGGTTCTGGATTTGACAGGGAGCCAATGGAGAGAAGCTAAAACTGGAGAGATATGATCTCTCCTACTAACTCCAGTTAAGACTATGGTAGCAGCATTTTGGATTAAATGAAGACTTTTTAAAGAAGTTTTTGCACCAAAATACAATTTCCATCGCTTAAAATTACAAGGGAAAAATGCAGTATTTTTTTTAAATTTGACATATTTATCCTGAGGTAAATTCACTTCTCTGACATTATAACCATTGTATAGTTTAATGCTCTTGTGGTTTTGTTTTTCATCATAGTTTTTTCTGAGGAGTGTGTGAAAAGCAGAAATGTGCCGTTGCTGTGTTAGCATGTCCTGTTACCATTTCATTTGGCTTGTTCTAAGCTTTGAATGATCCAGTTTTTGGGATGTGGGACCATATCCTAAGGTTTAAATTCTCACTTCTTCTGACCTTCATTTAGGACGTTCAGTGTGTGCACCGAGCACAGATGTTTGAATAGAACCAGCATCATCTGCCTCAGTGAAACAGTGGGCATATGGACAGTGTCACTAATGACTTGAAAGGGACACTCAAGATCCGTTTTTATTGCTTCATTTGGCACACTGCAGCCCCACTTCCCATTATGGTTCCCCTGTGATTTATGTGCTGCTCTTCAGATAGATGGAGAGAGGAGCTGGGAGTGGAAATACAGTAAGACTGATGTTTACCTTGATCTTGGGTGCCTTTTATTTCATCATGGACATCGACAGTGGGTTAAAACGTCTGCCCCATTGGATGTTTTGTTATACAGTTCATAAATCCTGTTTGTTAGATCATGTAAAGGGGGAGGTTTTTGGTAATGTAATGTCTTGCTTTAAAGACTGACAGACTTTTTATCCTTGCCGTCTTCAGAATATGAGATTTACACCACCTCAGATTGAGCGAGTTAGCAGATTTGTGATTGATTCAACATCATGTTACATTTTTCAAGCAGATGCTGCTGCTGTATTGTAACTGTTGAGTAAATTCATCAAATTCACATCACCAATTCTCTGTTGTTTAACTGACAAGCATTAAACAGGTATCGTAGTTATTTTCTGTTCCAGTAGAATCTGAAACCTTGGATTTTTAAAATGTATCCTAGATATACAATTTGTTAAATAACGTTTGATCCAGAGTTTTGTGGCTTTAATCTATGCAAATAGGCAAATGTTCACTTTTCCTTTTAATGTAGTATTCAGTCGCTGAATTTCTGTTTGTTTTTCGTGTTAATACTCAATTAGATTATATTGCTGTCTGTTAAATAAAAAGGTGGCATTGTTTTTTCTCCTTAATATATCATATTTCACCATAAACATGTCAAAAAGTGGACCCAGTGACTTTAAGCCAGCTAGGTACCATGGTGCTTTATGCTTTATGTATCTAATACAAATGTTAAGACTAAAAATGTTCCATTTTCAGACATTATGTTTAGATGAATATAACAATTTACTTTGTAAATAACAGAGCTTTTGCACAAAATGAAATAAAATAAATCTCCAGAAAGCATACAACCATTTAAATGATTCCTTGAGCTCTGTGTAAAAATGTGCTAACATGGTTTTAAAACTACAAATGTACAAAGATAAAAGTTCATGCTTGATAATCCAAATAAAAATCTAACAAAGTTAAATCAGGTTCTCTGGACAGTTTCTTTGTGTTGAAACATGTCATCTTTCATCCAAAGGACTTCATCAGTCCGAGGAGCCACAAACTCAGTCCCATAAGCAGCACACTCACATAGTGGGTCAACCAGTTTGATGGTGATAAGAGGACCTGATTTAACTTTGTTGGATTTTTTTCCTGGATTATTGAGCATGGATTTGATGTTTTGAACCACTTTGGCCATGGCTACCTCAGAGGAGTTGACGGGAGAGAGGGCAGACTCCAGAAAATATCACCATCAAACTGGTTGACCCACTGTGTGAGTGTGCTACTTATGGGACTGAGTTTGTTGTGGCTCCTTGGACTGATGAAGTCCTTTGGATGAAAGACCAAACATTTCAACACAAAGAAACCATCCAGAGGACCTGACTTAACTTTGTTGGAAATGTACAAATAATTCTTACTTTTGAGGGGGTCAAAACATTACAGTAAAAGAACTGCAGTCACTCATTCAATTTATTTTATGCTATTTTTTGCCTTTTACATGATGCACACAACCTGTAAGGTGTTGGTTATTTGATGTTGTTACAGTGTGCTGTGTGACTTGCCTGCAGGATTTTTTAGTTTTTTTGTTAAACGTTGTGTTATTAAAATAAACAGAATTACATTAGTGTTAATGTTATGTTTAATTGCCATATTTGCTACAGCATGATAATTGCATAAATGATAGACTTCAGACTGTGTGAAACATGGTACTCATGTTTTTTTTAAGTTTTTTTTTTTAATCACAGTCCCAGATTGTCATATAATCCATATATAGATTCTGCTGCAAGACATGTAAAACATTTGTCACACTAAGGCCTCTTTATCTTGGTTACTGGTGTTTTCTGTGTATAAATATTGGAAGGTTGTACACATTTGAAGCACTGATTGTAAAGACAATTGCATTTTGTGGCACAATGACGTTCCTAATAACGCCTGTCTGTAAGCACAGTGTTTCTGTAAATGTTCTCCTGGCAGTGTGAGCACATGTGGATCTCTGCTGGTACACAGCATGCATGTGTTCTTGCATAGAAGGTCAAAAATGTGATTACAGTGACACATGAAAAGCAAAGGCTGACACAGGAAAATCAAGGATTAGTTGTCCCCTGAATGTGTTTATTTATTAACACGTTTGCAACTTTGGATTAAAGTGTGACAGGACGACTGCTGGACTGTCACAGTTGGTCAGATGTCAGCAGTACTGTTGTGTTAACTACCTCCCAGCCTCTTGAGTCAGGCTTGTTGATCCTTTACTCTGTGAACTGTTTTTATACAGCTTGCGTCCGGTGGCTTTCATGGAGCCTTTCATAATAACCAGAAAATTTCCACCTGAGATTTTTGAAGACCAAGTCTGGAAAACACATGGTTTGTTTTCTTCCGGCCTGATTATGAAGGTCTTCACTTTCTATTGGCAAACATAGCCCTTCATTACTTTTTAGAAGGGTCTAACATCAAACCTACCCATTGTAACTTGTTTCTAGAAGACATGAGCATAAGAGCTAAAAAAAAAAAAAAAGGATTTCAGTTGAGCTGTTGGAAGATCTCTGATCTTCTGAAACTGTGGCAACTACAGTCCTCTTTCTGTCATCGTGAAAGATCATGATTAGCAGCCCTCATTAAGTTCTCCACTTGGACATTTGTTTATGCTCATAAACAAAGGTTAAAGGTGAAACTCTACTAACAATTGATTTCACATCAGCTGTTCATGAAAAATGTGAAACACCCAGATCAGCAGGAAAGGAAACATCCATCCATCCATTATCTTTACCCGCTTCTTCCTTTTGGAATCTTGCGGGTCACTGGTGCCCATATCGAGCAGTCGCTGTGCGAGAGGAGGGGGACACCGTGGACAGGTCTCCAGTCCATCTAAAGGACACATAGAGACAAATGAGACAAACAACCACTCAACCTAACATGCATGTTTTTGGTTTGTGGGAGGAAACCAGAGTACCTGGAGCATGCATGGAGAGAACATGCAAACTCCACACAGAAAGCCCCCCAGCTGGGATTTGAACCAGACCAACCAGCTCGCTGAGATGCAGCAGCTCTACCAAATGTGTCACTGTGCTGCCTGGAAAGGAAACGTTTTAGCTGAATTTAATTTCCTCCTCAAACATTTTCTGGATTGTGGGGTCAAAGATTGTAAGCAGCAGATGCTCAGAACTGCCAAGTCATCTCCAAGCAAGGCTCCAGGTGAATTTGTGCTGTCACCAAATTGTACCCTTCTTCGTATTCACCTCCACCCATTTCATGTCCATCTGTCGCGATTACATACCCACCTTGGTAGCTGCCCTAATGTGGTTTAATCTACAAGTGTATAAAATGAAGGTAAATACATTATTATTGTAATTAGTAGGTCTAGGGGTTGTATACTGGTGCTGTAGCCCCCGATTTTTTCAATAACCCTGGATTTTAAAACAGAAGAAGTTAAGCTTCTAATATTTGCCTAAAAACACAAGCAGTTTAGGTTGTGCTTTCTCTGTATTTCATCTAAGCAGCATCCACTTTAATACATCTTCACTGTCAATAGTCTGTGCCTTTCCCATGTGCAGTTTTTGCATCACTATACTTATATATATTATGATTATGGTGTATAATAATGCTGACTGTGAAATGAAACACAACTTAATCCTATGCACATAAGTGCATACAGGGTCATGGACACATGTGTATGCAGGGCCATATGCATATTGTCAGTGCATAGGTGCAAAGTGGTAGTTATTTTGTACTGGATTTGTACTAAACATTGAATAGTGTAAAATAAATGGTAATTATTTGGTAGGAAATTACAACTACTGGATACTAGATGGAAATATGATTTGAGGTAGGTATGGTTTGACCAGCACCTTGAAGCAGTCATGGAGATGTGTGTCTGCAGAATTCATGCCATGATATGTTAATTGATCGATTGCATGTAGAAGCCATAGTCAAAACATGAAACATGTGTTTGGATTTTGAATTCACATTTTTTTATTCTTATTACTACACTTTCATTATTAAAACTTATGGAAATGTTGGCAACGTTTTGAGGTTTTTATTTTTTTGTAAATAGTGCTAAAGTATTTTCAGCAATTTGCTGAAAAGACAGAATACCACATATCCATACTGATGACTGCTTACTTAGGATATTACTAAATTATCTCACAATGGCTTACTTAGAGACTGATTCAGGAGTAAAATATAATATTATGGGAGTTATTCATTAGTTTCATCAGTTGTTGAAACTGGATATTACGTATTCTGATATGCTCCATAGTGTGTGTCTAATGGAAGCCTTTAATGATTTGTTTTAAATTACATCTTTCTTTGCTTGCTTGACAGAGATGGAGCCTAGAAAACAAGTGGCCTCACCCTCCCCTGAAAAAGTCTCATCTTCCACCAGCTACTTCCCTGCTCCACCTCAGACACTCCTCATCAAGTACAGTCCAGCTTCTAGTCCTGAAGGCAGCTCCCCTCTCATCAGTCGTGGTATGCTGGGATTTGTTTTTAAACCATGTTGCAAACTGCATTGAATCAATTCAATTCAGTTTATTTCTATAGCGCCAAGTCACAACATAAGTTGTCTCAGAGGACTGTACAAGAACATTCGCATACTTAAAAAAGACAATTAGTACAAATTATCTAAGGAAGCCAGCAGATTGTGCTTAATTTTCACCGTTGTAATCTCCCATCCTGAGCAAGCACATTGGCAACAGTGGGAAGGAAAAACTCCCTTTTAACAGGAAGAAACCTCCAGCAGAACGAGGCTGAGGACGAGCGGCCGTCTGCTTCGACCGGCTGGGGGTTTGAGAGGAACAGGAAGGAGGAATTTACAAACACAGAACGTCAGGTCCAGGTGTACTTTCTATTTGAAGAAAGTCACAAAAACAGATGTTAAAAATAAAATAATTACAAATACAAACGGGTAGAGTAGAGCAAATAAAGACAGCAGCAGGGTAAAGAAATGTGGTTAATTTGTCTTCCAGCAGTCTACGCCTACGGCAGCATAACAAGCCAACCCTAACTATAGGATTTATCAAAAAGGAAAGTCTTAAGCCCAGTGTTAAAACTGGACAATGTGTCAGCCTCACAGACAGAAACTGGAAGTTGGTTCCACAAGAGAGGAGCCTGATAACTGAAAGATCTTCCTCCCGTTCTACTTTTGGAAACTCTAGGAACCACAAGTAAACCTGCAGTCTGAGAGCGAAGTGCTTTGTTAGGAAAGTTAGGTATATAAGATATGTAATATAAGATGGAGCTAGGTTGTTGAGAGCTTTGTAGGTTAGAAGTCAAATTTTGAATTCAATTCTGAATTTGACAGGGAGCCAATGGAGAGAAGCTAAAACTAGAGAGATATGATCTCTTCTATCATCTGTCATTAAAACTCTGGCAACAGCATTTTGGATTAACTGAAGACTTTTTAAATAAGTTTTTGGACACCCAGATAATAAACTATTGCAACAGTCCAGTCTAGACGTGACTAATGCATGAACCAGTTTTTCTGCATCGTTTTTAGACAAGATATTTTTCATTTTAGTGATATTACACAGGTGGAAGAACGTGGTTCTGATAACTTTTTTAATGTGGTGGTTAAAAGACATATCCTTATCAAAAATAACACCAAGTCTCCAAGTTAAATTAAATTCTTCCACATTAGTGGAGCGTCATTTTCTTTCTAGGTTTCTCTAGATGCCTGTTTTAAAGTACGTATCTCTGAATTGAACCAAGGAGCCAGCTTCCTCTGGTTGATCACTTTCTTTTCCAGTGGAGCAAATTTATCAAGTGAAGTTTGCACTGAAGTTGAAAATTTATCAACTATTAGTTACTGCTCTTTGTTGCATAACTCTGTAAGATAGAGGAAAACGTTGATGGAAGAGATTCTTTAAATTTAGTTACGTTTTCTGATAAACACCTGCTATAATGAAATTTACTGTGAGTGGCTGTGTAGTTAATGTAAACTCAAAGATTATTTAAAAAATGGTCAGACAGAACAGGATTTTGAGGAACTATTACTAAGTCCTTAATCTCTATGCCATAAGTCAGAACCAGATCAAGTCAGAACCAGATCAAGAGTGTGATGATGAGAATGAGTAGATGTGTGGACATTTTGGGTTAAACCAATAGACTGTTAAATTATTAAAGGCTATGTTTATGCCATCACTTTCAACATCTATGTGAATATTGAAATACTCCATTATTATTACTTTATCACAGAGGAATAAGTTTCAATAGTTATTATAATTAGTGTCAAATATTCTTGTTCAGACAACAAATAAAATGCAGTTCACATTTTAAATGCATAATATATGTCAATCTTTGAAAAAGTTGGAGGCTTGTAGAGAAGCTATCAAACTATTTTTTGTTAAAACACTCAGCTGAGATCTGATTATATGAAAAGGGGATTGAACTGGTCCACCTTTCTCTTCTCATAATAAGTTAGACATTTTTGATAGGAATGAAATAGAATTAATGAATGCCAACAATTTAAAACCTGAGCATGTTCTTGCGTATTTTCTTTTAGCTCTAGTTTATCTTGTGTAATTTGACATGCCTGTCAGCCTCACACTGGGTTTGCAGCCACCAGCATCTCTTGTTTCCTCTGAATAATAATTGCGGCCAAAGCCATTATGTACTGAGCAGCAGTGATGCATAAGCTGTCAGAGTACCCGTGACCGCAAAATAATGTGCTGATTTACATACCATGGTTTGTATTTTGGGATAAGATGCATCAGAATAGCTAGGTTTTTTTTTTTGTATCAAAGTTAAAAACACTCACACTCTCATAAATTATTAATTTGCACACCCTCACATAAAACATGCACATTTATATGCCAGATAAATTTTAAACAGCTCGTATTGAAACTGAAACCACTCAGGTATAGTACCCCTGCAATCACACGGTTATAATTCTCAAATAAACAGAGTTATTTCTAAGATTTCTTATCTGCATACCCACATGTCCAAGTGGCAAGGTTGGAGGCTGAAAACCAAAAATATATTTTGTTGACTCCAAAACTGAATCTGTTCTTGCACACACCTGTTAAAATGAGTGGTAAAAGGAACGTGCTTACATGTGAATGTATTGAACATGTGTTGAACAGAGTTTGAATACATGTTAAGCACTGCTTGGCTTTTGTTTAATTTAACTAGATATTATTTTATTATAGAACCTTCTAAATCAGATACAGTAGCCTGCAGTGTGAAGTATAAAATCTTTCTTAATTATTAAATAGCCCACGAGTGTATTGATATCTAAATATACTGAAACCTCTTTAGAAATTAAAAGGTAGAAGCAAACAAAAAACTTACAAGTGCACAACTTCAAGCGTTTTAGTTTGGCTGGAGACAGCATGACACTGAAACTACACTTGACAGGGTTGACATGTTGGTCCTCGGTGTGCTCGGATTGTGTCAGAATGGTTGCTTGACTGTACAACCTTTGAACCAGCGCGCTGCTAATTTATTCTCAACAGACTCGGCAAAGAGATAATTATCAGTTCCTACTCATCATTGTTTTCTTTCTGTTGAATAGATACAATGGTTTTTGTGTTGTGGTCTGTAAGTAGGCCTTGTTAGCCTGTTTGGTTCTCTTTATACAATGTTCTGACACAAAAAATTAGCTTTAAATACACATTTTGTCTCTACACATCACATTGAATGTCATATTCTATGTCTTTTTTTTAATCGGCTCATAAAATCCTTGTTTTTGTGATCACTTTTGAATTTTCCCATGATCCGATAATTATGGATGTTGCTCGTATAGGTCACTTTTGACCGAACCATTGATTTTAATGTTTGAAGCAATGCTTTTTTGTTCTCCAGGTGATCCATTGCAGATGTCAGTAGATGCACATCCAAATCTGTGCAATAGTCCTTCTTTTGGACTTAACACATCAAATGCAAGTCAGTTTGAGTTTGGAGGGCTTGGAAGTTTGGGTCTATCTACTTTGGCTGCTCATTCACAAGTCAACAAATTTCAAGGTAAGAAGGTTTAAGGTGCATACATGGGTTTAAATTAATATGATAAACCCTTTTTAATAGAGACAATATTTTAAAAAGTTACTAAATTACAATGAAAATCATGACTAAAGTAATGGGCCTGCACCAAAATATTTTTGAGGTATATTGTAAAATTAATAATCATGTTTGTTCATGAAAATATTGATCCTACAAAAACAATGAAAACTGTGGGTCTTGTTATAGAAAGTTACATAAAACATTTTTCTCTGGCTATTTCATCAAACCTTAAACTGTTATTTCTAATTCAAATCTTCAGTTTGAGCAAAGTTATCAGTGCTAATATTTGTATATTTTTGTATAGTTTGTTGACTGATGTTTGAAACTGTTTATGCTTATCTTTTGCATCTTGTGTCTTCTCAGAGTGGTGGCAGCCTGTTGGCACAAATACCAACCAATCAGCAGCCTTTTTCCCCCCTTTTCTGTGTCTCCATCCTGTATTTTTATCAACTTTCAAGAGCCTTTATTCTGTTGGTGTACAGTCACAAACAGGTAAAACGGTACAAATACCCATATGCTTTTTAAACCCTTTAAAAAAAGTATCCCATAATCACAAGGTGTGGCTTAAGAATAACCTATACAGCCATAAAAAGTTAAACTTGTTGGATATGTTTGTGTTTTATATTGTTTGGTTTTTATTAGTCTCCATCTAAAGATACTTTATTAAATACCAGTTTGTGTAGGTGTGAATGATAGGGGAGTTTCTCCTCCTACTTTGAACTCAGCTGCGAACCACAGTTCATTTCCAGCTGAAGAAAAGAAAGAAAAAACTAAACCCAATTCAAGTCGGAGACAAAAGACCATCCATGAGTCATTGCAATCACACCAGAAGGCCATCCCAAAAACAAAGAAAAGGTTAAAGGTCAGTTATTGATCAAGATTATTGTTTTTTTTTTTTTTTGTTTTGTTTTTTTTGTTGAATGATTATTCCATCTTATTTTTACCACTTATGTCATTGCAAAGCCCATAAAAAGTTCAACTGAGATTTCCAGCACGAGTGGCTGTTTGTCAGGGTCCTGGTCAGAAAGCTCCAGTGACGGTGAGGAAACCAGCAGCGATCCTGACAGAGTGGAAGATGACGGCAATGATCCAAACACCGTCTGCGCTGATCCTAAAAACAAGAGTCCAGTTAAAAGAAAAGTCAGCGTAAGCATCAATGTGTTTAGAGTATTTATAAAAGTTGTAAACATAAGCTTACATTTTACAAAATATATGCAGAAGCTTGACTATACAGTAGTCCCTCGCTACTTCGCAGTTTGACTTTCGCAGACTCGCTCTTTCGCGGTTTTTCAAAGTAAGATTAGGCATAACACACAATTGGCATGGATTGTTTATTTAAAATAAATTATTTAAAAGGATTTAGCACCTGCTAAATCATTAGGTGCAAGGAGACGCTCCCTCTGCAGCCTGTCATGATCTCTGCTCTCTGCCACCCACACATTTCTCCTCTGGCTGAAGCAGCTTCGTAAAGAGTTAACCCTTTGCTGTCCAGATGCACCGATTGACTTTTGTCTTCCAACTTAAAACTCAAAGTATGTCGCATCGTAAAATGGTCATAATTGCAAAACATGTGTTAAAAGTTATTTTTGAATTATTTTAGAACTTCTATGTTCAGTTGTTACAGTGTAATTGATCAAGAAGTACATTTCTGCTCCGTGCTGCATCTGCTGCGTGAAGGGTTAACCCCTTGCTGTCCTGCTGCACTTCTCTACAATTTAAATTTAAATACTGTAATATTTTAAATAAACAATCAATGCTTCATTGATTGTTTATTTAAAATATTACAGTATTTAACTTTAAATGGTTTATTTACACAGAAGAAAGGAGATTGGGGGTGAAACTTGAACTTGGACTGCTGTATCCCTACTTCGTGGTTTTTCACCTATCACAGAGGGCGTGGTCCCCTAAACACCGTGATAAAGGAGGGACTACTGTATTAAGTAATTTACTTTATTTTTTATTTTTTATAAAATAATCCAGAGAGGAATATTGTTAGAGTAAAAGTTGAAAACTTCTGGTGAAGTCAGTTATTTTGTGTGTAATGAATTGGTGAAACGTGTTAAACTGGGTTTATTGGAGTCAGCTGGTGGGAGGAAAGCTCAATGAGTGTTAGTTGACAGAGCTGCCAGTGTGATGCTCTCACAGCAAGAGCTGACTTGACATTCTGTCTTCTTGTTTTTCCTCGTCCTACTCAGCGACTGACACACGCCTCTCAGAGTAAAAGGAAGAGACCTCATGCTGCTGATGGAAATATGACTAAAGGGAGTCTTTGCGACAGTGTTCCTGTGACTTCCTCCTTTCTGCCTCAGCCCCTTTCCCATCAGTCCACAGTACTGGGCCTCCAGAGAGCCCCTACTACACAGGAAGAAGACCAGCAGCACATCAGCGTCATACAACCTACAGGACTGTCTCATAGGCAGGCTTGTCCTTCATCTTATAAATCTTCACCTGATCCCTATTCATCAAAATACATGCCCCATCTAACTTCACCAAAGCATCTCCCTTTTACGTCCTTGCCAAATCGGAGTTCTTCCTATTTGAAATCTCTCGCTCTCTGTTCCCCCAAGAAGCCGTCCTCTCTGTGTTCACTACCTAACCAACCACCTCCTGGTTCATTCCAACCTTTCTCCCACTCCTCTTCAACCTCACATGTGCTGCCAGCCTCAATGGAGTCCTCACATGAACTCAATCTGTCCACGCCTCCAAAGAAGTGCACACACCCTGTTAACAGCCTAAAGGAGAGTTGTGGGAACTTCCAACATGAGCGTTTTTTACAGCCAAACAGCTTTGAACTGAAAAAGGTGAGCTCTGATTTTTACACATTGTTGCATTGTCATAATCCTCCATTTTTACATTCTTAAAATGAAATCTTAATTTACTTACTGACAATCTGTGCTTCTTTGAAAAAATATTCATTTTGAATCAGACAGTGAATGCTAATCTTATAAAGACATCAAAGTTCATGCGCAATAATCCAGGTAAAAAATCCACAATTGTTCAGCTAGGTCATCTGCACGGTTTCCTTTTTTTGTAGAGACGTTTCGTCCATTATCCAAAGGACTTCATCATTCCGAGTAGACACAAACAAACTCAGTCCCACAAGCAGCACACTCCCATAGTGGACCAACCAGTTTGCTGGTGACAGAATGGTTTCTGGGACCCACCCTCTCCTCCATCGACTCTTCTGAGGCAACCATAGTTGCCTTAGAGCAGACTGCCATAAGAGGACTGATGAAGTCCTTTGGATGAAGGACGAAACATATCAAGAAAAAAAAGAAACCATCCAGATGACCTGACAGAACTTTGTTGGATTTTCTACCTGGATTATTGAACATGAACTTTGACATTTTGAACCACTTTGGCTATGACTGCCTTTGAGGAGTCGATGGGGGAGAGGGCGGGCCCCAGAAACCATCTTATCACCATCAAACTGGTTGGTCCACTATGAGAGTGTGCTGCTTGTGGGATTGAGTTTGTTTGTGGCTCCTCGGACTGATGAAGTCCTTTGGATGAAAGACGCAACATCTCAACAAAATAAAAGAAACTGTCCAGATGACCTGATTGAATGATGTCAGATAATCTTATCAAGGTTTTTATTTTTCTACATGAGCATCTTGGACACTGCATGGCTGAAAGTAACAATGCGTTTAGTTTCTACAGAACAGGCTTCAGAAAATTGACAGGCAATTAGATTTGTTGTGCTCTGGGATGTTTATCAAGAGCGAGATACATTTTCTCTTTAACAAAACTCCGTTATTGTCACCGTTCTGAGACAGAGGGAGAATGGAGCAATCAGCAGCCAGAGGGTTTTAATTCATGTGATGGTTGTTGAGTAAATGCCGCCTTTTGTTTGCTGAAGTTTGACTGTAGCAACAAAACAAAATGACAGCTCATGTCTTATGGTGGCACTAAACCAAAAAAATTCTGCAGCAGCTTTTTTTCTGTATTGTTGCTCTTCGTTGTCTCTTTTACTTATTACACTTCAACTGTCTTCAGTTCCCACCCACAGTAATGTAATGTGAGTGACAGTTTCAGTAATTATTTCTATTTTTTTTATGAACCCCTCCTGTTGAAGGATTCTGTGAAACAGGCGTCTTCTGTACAACAAAAGAACCAAAGGTGATAAAGAGTCTCAAACCATCTTTCTAGTAATAGTTCCACACCTCCTTATTGCTTTTTGTTAAAGTACTCCACTTCTTTTTTTCTCCTCTTCCCACTGGCAGTGACACAAACCTGTTCCTGAACCTGAATGGAGCGACCCACAGTGCGGTTCAAGATGCACCTTTGGCTCTCGTCACTAAACGCAGCAGCCAGAGAAGCTCTCCCAACAGCAAGTCACTCTTTGAATCTGCCAGAGCCTCCGACATCATGCCCATCAACTTGAGCACAGGGACCAAGAAGACGTCAAACTGCTCTTCTTCCTCACTTAAATGTTCTGCTTCATCAGGATTTGTTCCTGGATCAGGGAAGGCCGCCATGGTTCTGCATGAAAGACGAGGCCTGACTAAACCCAACTTACACAGTGCGCATGTAGACTCGACCAGAAATGACGAGTCTGAATTCTCCAGCAGCAAAGACTCAGACGAGTCTTTTGAGGACGATGAAGATGAAAGCGAGGATGAAGATTCTGACAGTAGCCTTTCAGGTTGACACTGTTTTCTGATTTTATGATGATGTTCAACACATTGTTATTGATAACAGCTGTGATACATACATCTTGTAAAAAATGAGTGGTTCTCTGTCTCTAATCCCCTGCAGATTCAGAGAGTAATGTTGAGAGTGACGGCTCTGAGGATCACATCAAGGAGCTCGTCGAAACAGAAGCAGCTAGTGATGCAGACAAGCCTGTTCTGAAATCACCTGAAGCATCAGCGTCTACTTTTGACTGTTCCTCCTTGAACTGTTCTCCCAACTGCTCTCTGCTCAACCAGAAGATTACTGAGCCTCTAGTTTTATCATGTAAATGTTTGCTGAACCCAGTCATCAACACGGACCCCCTGAACAAACGTGACAGCCCGTCCTCATCTGTCACATTTCAAACCACTCCAGGTAACTCATCTCTTCTGAACGACAAAATGGTACCACTTTATAATAAGGCTCCCCTTATAGAAGGCTAATAAATAGTTTATAGATACATTATTAATTCCTCTATAAACACTTTATAAATCATTAATAACTGCTTATTATGCATTAATTAAGGGTGGCAGAGAGACAAAACTGACCAGTTTCTTGCCAAATAGTGAGCCAAATCGGTTCACCTATATATTTCATTTAGAGTTGTCACCGTATTTTCCACCGTACCCGTCGCACCGCCCTATAAGTCGCATCAGTCCAAATATGTCTAAAAAAGTGGAAAAGTCCATAAATATGTTGCTTCGCTGTATACGTCATATCTATTATGCATCACCACTGACGCGTTGCATTTGTTACGCATCACCGCTGACAACCCAGAAATGTGGGCCGGTGTTGTGCCAAAAATCGATGGGCTGCCAAATGGCGACCACGGGAGCGTGCACAGGAGGACTTTAACAAGAATTTAACAAGATTAACACTTAAAAACAATTATTTGTTTTCTTGAAATTATAGTAAAGGTGTGTCTCAGTCTAACTTTTGCTTAATAAATGCACTTTGACGGTCAAATCAGCTGTATTTCAAAACACGATTCGCAGAAGCGCCGGGTGCGCGCAGAGGGACGAGTCTCCGCATTTCTTCGAAATTTAACAAGATAAACACCTAAGAACAATTATTTGTTTGCTCAAAATTATAGTAAAGGTGTGTCTCAGTTTAACATTTGCTTAATAAAAGGACTTTACTGGTCAAATCAGCTGTATTTGAAAAGTATTCGCTGCCTCGTGCTCCAGGAGCGCGCAGAGGGAGGAAAAAAAAGGAGGAACGCTGCTCGTTTCTTCGAAATTTAACAAGAAAAACACCTAAAGCAATTATTTGTTTGCTCAAAATTATAGCAAAGGTGCGTCTCAGTTTAACATTTGCTTAATAAATGCACTTTAATGGTCAAATTAGCTGCATTTCACCGAGGAGGTGCATCTGGTTTGACTTGCTACAAGCAGCAAGCAGAACGAAGGTGGGGGTTATATGGCAATCCGATTGTGTCAATAGCTGGTGAAGATTCTTAGTAATCCAGGGCATGGTAAATTCAAAAAAGTTCAAGACAAAAACAATAAAGTATAAAGTAAAATATAATAAATGAAGTCCAGTTATTTTTGTCTTGAACTTGTTTGAATTTGTCATTATAGCCATGTTTACCTATTACATGATACAACAGCATGCCTTACTGCTACTACTACTTTGCTGCCTTGTGGCTGAAAATGGTATTGTTCGATTCTTATTTTTTTCAGTCAGAATGAATGAAAACCATCATATCTCAGCCCAAACTTGGTTTATAAATATGGGAAAAAAAACATAAATATGCAGCTTCAGCCTATAAGTCGCAGGACATGCAAATTATGCAAAAAAAATGTGGCTTATAGGCTGAAAAATATGGTATATTATACATTTCAGACTAAGTTACTACCTTGTAAGCACAATAAGCATTTGTAAACCTATTTTTTTAGGATATAATATTATTTGGAGATACTTACAATGCAGTGATAAAGTACAATATTATATGCGAAATAAACAAGTTTACAAATGCTTATTGTGCTTAAAAGGTTGTAACTTAGTCTGAAATGTTTAATATGACAACTCTAGATGAAATATATAGGTGAACAGATTTGGCTCACTATTTGGCAAAAAAACTGGTCAGTTTTGTCTTTCGGTCACCCTTAATTAATGCATAATAAGCAGTTATTAATGAAGGGTTTATAGAGGAATTAATAATGTATCTATAAACAGTTTATTAGCATCTATAAGGGGAGCCTTACTATAAAGTGGTACCGACAAAATAAATTCCCAGCTCAAGTGCATTAACAATTCTATATGAAAGTTTCAGCTTTCATCCAGGCAGCAGAAATGTGTTACTCACAGAATCCCTTCTAAAGTCAAGATGGTATTTTTTCCCCACAATCTCATCTGTGGATACGTATGATTATTTTAAATCAGGGAAGCAGATGCTGCACATTTCTCTAAACTAAATTATACTCTCTGCAAGACACTGTATTGTTGGAATGGTGTCCAGCAAATTTATCTTCACTAATTAATGTCTGTATGAATTGTAGTCATACTAATGAAAAGAAAATTAAATAAAATGCCACAACAGTTTGTGGTTGTTCAGCTCCTACTAGGAGAAAGAAAACCATTGAATATATTTTCTGCTTTTGTTTTTTTTTTTGTTTAGTGAGAAGGAGGAATATTACAGATGAGAGCGCTCTACAAATTCCTCTTAAGTTTGGGTGAGAAAATTTTATTATTACACCTTTATTTATACAGGTTAGTTCCCATTGAGCCCCAAAGACTCATTTACAAGAGAGACCTATTTGGTCTGCACAAAATGTGCCTACACGTAGTCTACATCCTGTTTGTTTTTACTGTCATAATAACTTGTTGATGTAAAATCAGTCAAAGTTGGTGTAAGATTAGAGCTCACTGGGTCATTGTGTTAGTTTAATTGTCCAGCTTCCAAGAAAGTTTTGGTCACTGCTGCTGTTTTCCACAATAAATAAAAATTATACTTGAAAGCAACAGTCATAGGACCGCTGACACTGAATATGTTGATTGTAATGACATCATTATTTTAAAAAGTGTTTGAGTAAACCACAAAAACTTGGACTAGAAAATTAAAATATAGCCCAATGCACAAGGGTTTATAATTTTCATCATAGATGAGCAATATTTTCAATTATTGTCCACAAATGCTGCTGTCACAAATGAGCACAGTCTTTCATCTTTCAGGGATGTTGTGTATTGGATGGTTTACTGGAAACGAGACTTAAAACTGTACTTCAGCATGTTTTCTGTCTGCAATTGCAGCCTGCATGTTTTTATTAAAAAAAAAAAAAAAAGGTTGGAAAATGAGGGTTAACTGTTTAGAAGGAGGATCACTGAGCATTTCTATGAAAAGCACTTTGGTGTCTACAATTTAATTTGGTTGTTTGAAATCAGTACTTGCTTTTTTATTGGATTTGTTCAGGTGGAGGAGAGAAACCTGGATCAGGACTGTTGCAGGTCGTCTCCAGGGGAACGTGGCTTACTTTGCTCCATGTGGGAGGAGGCTGTCTAAGTTTCCAGATATAATGAAGGTAAATCAACAGGCTGTACAATACATTTACTTCAAACTGAAAAACTTTGAATGATCACGTTGACTAATCTAACATGTGAACTATTTAAACACTGTTTGGTGATTATTTCTCATCTGCTTTTTTTGTCTCTCTTCAGTATTTAATCAGAAATGGCATAACTGAAATTTCACGGGAAAACTTCAGCTTTAGCACAAAAATTAAAGTGGGTAACTTCTACGAAGGCCAAGAAGGACCAGAGGTAAATGATGGTTGTGTTGTTTTACCTTTCAACAGCATATTGTGAAGTTATTATCAAATTTTCTGTTCTGAATACAGTAGTCCCTCGTTACATCATGGTTAGTTTTTGGCAAACTCGCTCTGTCGCGGTTTTTCAAAGTAAAATAGTACACGACACAATGACTGATTGATGGATGAGCCACACGATCTGCATGGATTTTTAATTTAAAATAAATTATTTTAAATGATTTTGCACGTGGTGGCAGCACGGTGGCGCAACTGGTAGAGCTGCTGCCTCTCAGCGAACAGGTCCCTGGTTCAAACCCCGGTCCAGGGGCCTTCTGGGTGGAGTTTGCATGTTCTTTCCGTGCATGCGTGGGTTTTCTCCGGGTACTCCGGTTTCCTCCCACAGACCAAAAACATGCATGTTAGGCTGATTGGTAACTCTAAATTGTCCCTAGGTGTGAATGAGAGAGTGAATGGTTGTTTGTCTCGTTTGTCTCTATGTGTCCCTGTGATGGACTTGCGACCCGTCCAGGGTGTACCCCGCCCCTCGCACAGTGATTGCTGGACATGGGCACCAGCGACCCCCATGACCCAAAATGGAATAAACGGGTAAAGAAAATGGATGGATGGATGGATTTAGCACGTATCTGCAGCCCACAGCTGTGGGAGAAGCTTCCTCCTGCAGCTGATCATCTGATCTCCGTGCAGAGTGGAGAAGTGGGTGTGGCCGAGAGAGCATCTGGAGGCAGAAAGCTGAAATCATGACATTCTGTGCTCTTTTAGAGTGTTTAGAGTTTAGAAACACTGTTTAGAATAGTGCGAGTGTGGGAAGGGTTTAAAACGCCCTTTTATATTATATATATATATATATATATAAATATATAATCTACTACTACTACTTGTACTACTATTCCTACTTCTATTCCTACTTTGTGATTTTTCACTTATCGTGGGGCTTCAGAGTACAGACCCCCCGTGATAAACAAGGGACTACTGTATGTACTGTATACTGTACCTGAATGATCTGAATACTGACATTAATATTTCACAACAATTCATGTTGTCATAGATGTCAAGAGTAAAATCCCAGTTTCGAAATGACAAAACCAACTGTAACAAATTTCTCTTTTATAAAGACCAAAGCTCATCAGGTCTATTCGTTCCTCCTTCTGACTGAATCCCTCCATCACCTTCATGTTTCTCAGGGTTTACAGTGGTTCTTACTGGCCGAGGATGAGATCGCTTCCAGAATTGTAGCCATGGTTGGGAGGCGCAGTCATGGCAAAAGGTCTGAGCTGCAGTCGAGCTCTATAGTTCCTGGGGTCAGATACCTTCATCCTGTTGGTGAAAATAACCTCCAAAACTTTAATGATGCAAAGCTAATGAGAAAACTGAAGGCTCAAGGTCAGTTTATATGCCAGAAATACTCAAGTAACATGAGCTGCCTCACATTTTCATGCATTTTTTTTTCATACATCAGTGTGGTTGACTACACACAAATTATCATGCTCAGTTAGCCTAAATAGTAAACATGCTTTGTTTTATATGATCATAATTCTTGTTATTCACCTGCTTGTTTGCAGTTTCATTTTAGTTTGTTGTGCTGCTCTTGTTGTCAGTGCAAATAAAATGTTCTTTCCTCAGTTGACGAAAGTGTAAAAATAGGTGGAACCACCTACGTTCACTTTAAATGTATTAAAACAATATATTTTATTTTTGAAGGAACTTAACAATCAAAGCCTCAGATCTGGAACTGTTACAATAATTTGTTCAACAAAATAAACAAGTAAATTCAATATAAAAATGTCTTTTGAGAATTCCAAATTAATATATTTTAAGTATGAATGCTATCTATCTAAAGTCATATTATTATATACATTAAAATGTTGTGGCCCTTGGGATGTTTTTCTCAAACTAAACTACAAACGAAGTTTTAAAAGTAAAAATAATCCTGACAAAGTCTCTGTTGTCATACAAAGTTTTTATATTTCTAACTTTAGAGTCTGATGGTTCGTTTCATTTTATTTTTTTACTGTTTTGTTTCCTCTCTCAGCAGGAATAGCTCAACAGGCTGCTCAGATAAAGTTACTGAGAAAGCTGGAGAAACAGGCCATGGTGCAGGCAGCCAAGGAGGCAAAGAAGCAACAAGGTAAATCTCTGCTGTCTGATCAGACTTTTCTCTAATCCAGATGATATTCTCTGCTCAGACCTAACAGCTTTGTGTTTTACAGCTTTAATGGCTGCAGAGGAGAGGCGGAAAAAAAGAGAGGAGATAAAAAAATTTAAGCAACAAGTAAGTTTTTTTTTTTCTTTTCTTTTACATAGGACTAGTTTATAAATGTGTAGCCACTTTCTTCATGTTGACAGTTTATACAATTTGAGGTGAAAATATATGAAGTACAGCAGTCCTTTGCTACTTCACATTTCGTTTATCGCGGACTCGCTCTATTGCGGTTTTTCAAAATAAGATGGGACGTGACACACAATTGGCTGATTGATGGAAGTCACACGATCAGCATGGCATTTTTATTTAACATAAATTATTTAAAATTATTTATCACTCACTGCACATTTGTGTAGCCTATACTGCAGGATAAGCTTCCTGCTGCATCTGATCAGTTGTCCGTGCAGAGCGGAGAAGTGGGCGTGGCCAAGAATGCTTGCTATGGGCCAAAAGCAGACGAGGCAGGGAGCTGAAATCATGACATTCTGTGCTCTTTTAGAGCCTTTAGAGTTTAGAAACATTGTTTAGAATATTGCAAGTTTGTGAGAAGGGTTTAAAATGCTAGTGCTGCAGTACTCGAGACCGGTCTTGGTCTTGAAACCGATCTCAAAACCACTTTTTGATGGTCTTGGTCTTGTCTCTGACTCGACTGCATTTGGTTTTGGTCTTGTCTCGGTCTCAAACATTGAGGACTCGGGATTTTATTTCAAGACCAGTCAAGACCACAACTGTGGAAATATCACTAAATTGCCAAAATATTTTCCAGTTTATTTGTTAACATCTTTGTTTTTATTGAAGCAAAACGTACTGATTCAAATCCAAGTGATAACGTGACTCATTGCTAAATACATGTTCTTGTTACCCCTGCCACGCCCACCCCCTTTCACTCGCACGCAGTTCTGTACCAACAGAATAATACAGACAAGAGAACGTAACGTCGCAACCAGGAGTGAAAGTAAGTCGGTCCAGTACTGCGTACCACTAAAAGATTCTGTGCCAGTACACAGTACCTGGAAGAGAGGGGAGCAGCTGTCTGCTGTAAGGCCGTCACTCAGAACCAGTCACGGCTGCACTTTGGGTCAGAATAGATTCGCTAGTAATAAGCAGTCTAAAACACGACTTAATCAGTTATTAAATAGCTTTTTTTTCTCATTTCAAATTGTTTCTGAACGGTTCGTTCTGCTGGAGCCTCAATTTTCTACCGCGGTGAAGTTAGTTTTACTTTGGACATTCGAGCTCCGTGGCTTCAGCGGTGAGTTCCTCTCATTCGATCCAAATCAGACAGTCTGATTTCATTCAGCTGAGCTCAGTCTTCCCCTCCTCCAAGATGTAATGGTTCTCTTAGGGACCGTCAACAAATTAATGAACCAAACACTCTTCAGAAACAAAGATTAATATATTTAACATCATTTGACCCACTGACACAAAACTAATGCTAAACTACTCTAATAGACCTGACACACAAGACACCATCATTTATTTCTCATTTTAAAGCATTTTCTAATTATTGAGTGAAAACCGTGATTTTTGAACAAATAAATTATGTAAAATTACAAAATGCTTTAAAATGAGAAATAAATGAAGGTGCCTTGTCTGTCAGGTCTAGTAGAGTAGTTTAATATACGTTTTGTGTCAGTGGGTCACATGACATGAAAATGATTGTGCAAAAACCACTGAATGTCTGATTTATTTGTTATGTAGCTCTGAAAATTTATAAACGCTGATACATTCATTCAAAAGCAAACTTAAAGTTGCAGTATGTAACTTTAATAAAAATATTTTTTATAAAAGCTACATTTTTTTTTTTTTTTTACATATTTCTTTAAACTGTCACTGTCACTATGTCGTGTCAGTATTGATGAGTATAAGACAGATAATCTGTGAAAAGACTGAGCTCCAAGACTTGAGGTCTTGGTCTCGGACCCCAAAAGTCTTGGTCTTGTCTCGGTCTCGGTACACTCTGTTCTTGGTCTTGACTTGGTCTCGGGTTAGGTGGTCTTGACTACAACACTGTAAAACGCCTTTATATATATACAGGTGTATACTAAAATAAACTACTACTTACTACTTGTACTACTATTCCTACTTCGCGGTTTTTCACTTATAGCAGGACTTCAGAGTATGGATCCACCGCAATAAACAAAGGACTACTGTACAGTTAAAATACTTTAATACTCTTAAGAGAAAGTTGCTGTACTGCTGTTCTTTAAAATTCTCCACCCTCCACAACTGCGTAGGCCTACTCCATCCCACATTCTGCTCCCCTTCACCCCTCCATAACGTGCATGAATTAACAGTTGACTCATTTGATCTCACCCTCATCCTTCTACCAGGAGAAGATCAAGCGCATTCAGCACATTCGTTTGGAGAAAGAACTCCGTGCACAGCAAGTTCTCGAGGTTCGTCCCGAAAGTTCTTGCAGAAACACTTCCTCTCTGGTGTTGATGGAGTTTGAAAGAAAAAAAATAACATGCCTAATTGGTTTCTTGCAGAAGTGCTATTGAATATGAAAATCTCTTCATATCGTGCTGGAGCTTAATACAAAATACAGTATTTCATTAAGTACGGGGGGATTTGCCACAGTTAGGTGAAAGCACCTATTTTACATTCTCTCACTAATACAAGCTGTGGAGTATTTCAGCTTTTATAAATCAAATTTCAGCTGACACGCATGGCAAGTGGCTCTTAACAGGATTTCATTGGGGATATAATTACTGATAGAAGTTTTGCTTAATTTATACTTTCTGTCTGCTGTTCTTTCATTATAACTACAGCCATTTTGTCTCAGTGCGTGACAACAAATGAGTATAATTCCCCAACGTTTCAATATGTTAGATGTGATCTGTACACTGTTTGCATATGATTTTTAAAGCATCTCCTGGTCCTGTATTTTTTATAACGATGTAAACAAAGATGATAGTGTCTAGGGGGAAAACATATGTCTGTGTACACACTGTGTCTGTGTGACCCCAACATGTTTTGTGTGCACACAGGAAAAGAAAAAGAAAAAAGAAGCAGCTGCCAATGCAAAATTATTAGAAGCTGAGAAAAGAACCAAGGTGAGCAAAAATTTACAAGCGATGTTTGGTTGTTTTAACAACGTTAATAAAATTCACCAATTGTCTTGCTCTGCATACCAACAACCTGGACCTCTGACATGCCGTTTCTGTAATAATACAATTTTCTGGCTCTTTTGTACTGCTTGTTGGTGCATAAAGAGATGTTGATTGCCTTGTTTTATCACTGTAATTAGAAAAGGCTGGATCACCTCATTCCATTGTACATGCATTTATTACTGATAATGTTTCCATTTGCACATCCCATTAACCAGTGATGCTTTGAGGGCTGGAAGTTGAGCTCTAACATTGTTCAACAAAAAGAGAGAGCCTTTCATTTCTGTGCTTTTAAATAATGTTAATTTGTGTTCATATTTTGGTTTTCTAATTGAATTATTCTTGTTTACAGGAGAAGGAAGTTCGTAGACTTCATGCTGCCATACTGAAACAGGTACACGTTTCTTTTCGACAACAGCACTGTAAAACTCCCCTGACCCTACATTTATTGTAAAAACACTTAAAGATGGTTTAACTGATTATCATATGCACAAGTGATCTATTTTTTAACAGACTGAATGTTTCTGGTGTTTGTTTTTAAGAATTATTTAATTTTTCCTCTTTACCAACTCTTTCTACCAGGAGTTGGAGAGACATAGGCTTGAAATGGTATGAACATGTTTGGCTTTGCTCAGTTAACAACAAATCATATGCATGTTTTGGAATGAAAAGTTAAAATCAATATTCCATGTTGCATGTAGCATTTGCTGCTGACGTATGGTGCATCTTTCTGCATGGTTTTTCCAGAACAGCACACTCTGCTGTAGGTCTCTTAGAAATGCATCCACTATCTGCTGAACAAATGCATCCACTATCTGCTGAACACTTTGAGTTATTATCAGGCTGAATGGTGTTCTAATAAACTGAGAGCAAACGCACAGTATCTGTTTTGGAATTGACACATTTGTTTGTTCAAAATCATTTTGTGTTTTGTGTTTACGTCACAAACTCCAAAAGATCTTGATTGCTGTGTCAGGTGCTCAACTTGTTGGATCTTTATTAGCTGCTATATTACAATACTCGTGCTGTCTGCATGCATCATTCCCTTCATTTGAGTGTTTTTGGTTTTACGATTGCACATTTAATCATCACAGTGTGCAAATTGTGATTTAATTTGCATGTTTTATAGATTGTACTTAAAGTTCTAAGACCCACTGTAATGTCTACAACAAAAGCCCATTTGTAAGTTCATATAAAACAGAGTTTGTGTTTCTGGTAGGAGAAGGAGCGGCGCAGGCAGCACATGATGCTCTTGAAAGCTGTAGAAGCTCAGAAGAAGGCAGAGGTGAATTAATGCCGAGTTTGCGCCTCTTACTATATTTTATGCCACAGCCTTACATTTCTTTTGGCATATTTGTGTGAATATGCAACTATCTGCAGTGATGGAATACACAGTAGCTCTGTATTTATATATGATTTAGGTATAACATAAAAAATTGTCAGGAAACAGCCACTAAGAAGCACAAGCTGGTGTTTCACTTGTGCCAGTTCCAAGCCCAGGTAAATGGTGAGGGTTGTGTCAGGAAAGGCATCTGACGTAAAACACTTTTGCCAAAACTAATGTAAGTTAGTTGTAATGTACTGTAAGTGGAAGGACCTGATGACATACTAGTGGAGGTTTGGAAATGTCTTGGAGAGATGGCAGTGAGTTTTTTGACTCAAATATTCAATGGCATGTTTGAGGGTGAGAAAATGCCTGAGGAATGGAGAAGAAGTGCGCTGGTGCCCATTTTTTAAGAACAAGGGTGATGTACAGAGTTGTAGCAACTACAGGGGAATTAAGTTGATGAGCCACACGATGAAGATCTGGGAGTTTTGGAAGCTAGACTTAGACGAAAGGTGACAATCTGTGAGCAGCAGTATGGTTTCATGACAAGAAAGACCATCACAGATGCCACCTTTGCTTTGAGGATGCTGATGAAGTACAGAGAGGGTCAAAAAGAACTCCATTGTGTCTTTGTGGATTTAGAAAAAGCATATGACAGAGTGCCGAGAGAGGATGTGTGGTATTGCATGAGGAAATCTGGAGTGGCAGAGAAGTATGTTAGACTTGTACAGGACATGTATGAGGACAGCAGGACAGTGGTGAGATGTGCTGTAGGAGTGACAGATAGCTTCAAGGTGGAGGTGGAAGTGCATCAAGGATCGGCTCTGAGCCCCTTCTTGTTTGCTCTGGTGACAGACGAACTAACAGATGAGGTCAGGCAGGAATCCCCATGGAGTATGATGTTTGCAGATGACATTGTGTTCTGTGGTGAGAGAAGAGAACAGGTGAAAGAGAACTTGGAGAGGTGGAGGTATGGACTTGAAAGAAGAGGAATGGAAGTAAGCCGTAGTAAGACAGAGTACATGTGTGTGAATGAATGAGAGGGAGGCCGGTGGAACAGTGAGGCTACAAGGAACAGAGGTCACAAAGGTGCAGGACTTCAAGTACTTGCAGTCATCTATCCAGGAAAATGGGGAATGTGACAAAAAGGTGAAAAAGAGAGTCCAGGCAGGATGGAGTGGATGGAGAAAAGTTTCAGGAGTGATTTGTGACAAAAGGGTCGGTCAGCAAAGGTCAAAGGAAAAGTTTACAAGACAGTGGTGAGACCAGCTATGTCTGGAGACAGTGGCATTGACGAAACGAAAGGAGAAAGAACTGGAAGTGGCAGAAATGAAGATGTTGAGGTTCTCCTTAGGAGTGATGAGGATGGATAAGATTAGGAATGAGATCATCAGAGGTACAGCACAGGTTGAACAACTGGGAGATAAAGTTAGAGAGACCAGACTGAGATGGTTTGGACATGTCCAGAGGAGGGACAGTGGGTATATTGGTAGAAGGATGTTAGAAATGCAACTACCAGTAAAAACGACAAACAGGAGATATATGGATGCATTTAGAGAGGACATGGAGGTAGTTGTGAGTTGGAGGATGACTTATGTGGCAACCTCTGAAGAGGGAAAAGCCAAAAAAAGAAAAATGTAAAAATATCAACTGAAGAAAACAGAAGCGTAATAAAATCTGACATCTTGCTCAGATCTCAGTTAAATGCTTTAATGCAAAAAAGAAGAAAAGGGAAAAAGAAGCGTTTTTGTAGAATTGCATATAAAATGTTTTTTTAACCTAAATTCATTAGTATTTGAACAATATCAGTATTCGTGTCAGATCACATGTTCTCCAGGCATAAGATGGCCTTCAAGGCCAGCCAGATGAGCCAAATTCAGATAAACACACAGTTTTTTGGGGGACAGGCAGAACTTAATGACATCTACCTTGAGTCTGTGTTGGTCCACTCGGTTCCGAAATGTCCAAATTAAATGGCCACACTGATGGAACATGCCTGAGTAAAATCCCTGAGATCTGATCCATTCTGCCCAAAACATTTGAGTCTGGGTACTCAAGGCATGAACCAAGCCATCATAAAGGCAAGCAGCGTGATCGGGTCCAAATTTGCTGCCGACGACTTCCTTGATTGTTGATAAAACCAGCAACCAGCCGAATCCAAAAAGCAGGAACCAGTTATCGTAAATCCAATTAAATATGCGTCCTTAAAATCCACAAATCGGAGCAGAGATAGACACATCATCAAATCTTCAAGTCGATGAGATATCCAGCTGCGTGCATGCCAACAGGGCAAATTGGCTCATCTAAAGCCTGTCTTATCTTCGAAGAAATGTTATTAATTGTGTTGAGGGACCAACTGATCAAATAAAGTCTATAATTATGGTTCGGAAGGTACGCAAGAGAGGCTCAGAAGCAGTTTCACAGACAGACAGAGCAGCAAAGCAAAGTGGAGAGAGAGGGGAAGGGAAAAGCATCTGACCTTGGCAAGAGTGAGAGAGTGAATGGTTGTTTGTCTCTGTGTCCCTGTGATAAACTTGCGACCTGTCCAGAGTGTCCGCCACCTCTCGCACAGTGACTGCTGGACATGGGTACCAGTGACACCCGCAACCCGAAAAGGAAGAAGCAGGTAAAGATAATTGATGGATGGATGTTGGGAAATAATTCCTCTCTCGTGGCTCAGAGTACTCGATACTGTACCCTGTTGATCAAAGGTTAATCAACAGGGTGTGGACCTCAGATATTCAGTATCTATTATTTTTGTTATATGATGTTTAAATCTTTTCGATTTTTTTCTTTGTTACTGGAATAATGCAATGATACTTTTCGTGATTTAAAAAGTGTGTAGTTTGTAAGGAAGGGCTGTGCACCTGAAAATACAAATGTTCCTTCCTCTTTCTGCATTTTATTATAAAGCACTTAAAACAACCACAGTTGCAACAAAGCGCTGTGCATGTCAAATCAAAGAACATTAAAACAATAAAACAAGGAAATAAAAACTGATAAAAACAATGTCGGTAAACTTCCTTCCTTAGATAGATAACTTTACTATTTATATTATAATGTATGCGAATGTTTTTGTTCAGTGCACTGACATAACTTGTGTTTTAACTTGGCGCTACATAAATAAACTGAATTTAATTGAATTACAATCAATAAAACAGAAGTAAAATACAGAAGAGCAAGTTTCAGGCTGTGCCAAAAGCTAAGAAGAACCAGTTCTGTGGGACAAAAGTGGCCTGAAGGAGGCAGCAGTAAACGCTGCATCTAACCTGCCAAAACGAAGAAGAGGAAGAGGAAGAGGAAAGGAAGGGGAGCGCGATTCAGAGCTTTGGTTCGAGTCTTTCATCGCTTCAGGAGAGCAGAATGCCGAAGGTGAGGAGGAAGAGCCGCTCGACTCGGACCAAGGAGGCCAAACTGGCCATGCGCTTACTGAGAAGAGACGAGTCGGAGCAGGCCATGAACAAACGCAGGTTACAGGACAAGGAACGAAAACAAAGAAAAAGACTGCAAGAAGCACAAGAGGCAGCGCTAAGAAGACTGTTTACGTTGACGTCATTTGATCCCAAAGTACCCGGATGTGCTTTTACTTTGGAGGTGATTAACTTTCACAAACTGCAGATGTTTGTTTCCAGTGTTGTTGTAGGCGAATTTAAAAAAAACGAGTCACATATTGACATCAGACCCCTCAATGTATGCGAGTCACGCTGCAATTAGTTTTTGTTGTTGTTGTTGTTTACACGAATTGAATAACTTTTTAAAGACCTCGCTAGTTTTCATTGTTAGTGGAAGCAGCTGAAACGTGCGCGTGCGTATTCACGAAATATATAAACACTCAAGAAGACAACTCTGGAAGGGGAACTGATAACTTTCTAAGAGTTGTAATGAAATTATTGCAAATACAATGCAATGCATTTTATGTCTAATGTTTTAATATATATTTTATTGTGTTGTTGCTTTTTTTTCCCATTCAACCTTTATTTAGACAGGTAAATCCCATTGAGCCTTTACAAGAGAGACCTGCTCTATTTTTAAAAATAGATGTAATATAGCACTGTCATTTATCTGTGTTGCAGGAGAAAGAGCGTCTAAAACAAGAAAAGAGGGATAAGATACGGGTAAACAAAGAAAAGAAACTGGCATTTCGTCGAATGGAACTGGAAAAGGCGAAGGAGCTAAGAAAGCCAAAGGAAGACATGTGTTTAACAGATCATAAGGTATTTAAACATTAAACTGTTTATGTATGACATGTCAAATGAAAATGTTTTGTCTATGATGTAAATTAGTGTGGAAACTTTAGATCTTCCTTCTATCTTCAGTGTTTGTTGACAGAAAATAAATTATGCCATTGTTGGAGTTCTTTGCATGGAGGTTATGATATTTAAAAAAAAATTACAATAGTCCACCATTACACTTAAAAATAACTTTGACTAGATGTCACAAACATAAAGGAGTCATATAATCAGATCAATGAAGACTTTGACAACATACATCTTCAAGATATTTTTTTTTCATCAGTAGTTAAAATAATAGACAACAAATAAGCGTTTTATGTTTTAAAATATAATTTCTCTCTAGCCCCTTCCAGAGCTGTCCTGTATGCCTGGACTGATCTTACCTAGAAAAACTATTTCTGACTGCCTAATGGTGCTGCAGTTCCTGCACAATTTTGGAGATGTCTTGAAACTGGGCTTAAACTCAGACATGCTCACTGTCAGCAACCTCCAAGAGGGGTTGCTTAACATCGGGGACAGTATGCACAATGTGCAGGACATGTTGGTGAGCATGCTGTCTGCAGCTGTGTGTGACCCTGGTGTACCTGCAGGACGCAAGGTGAGTGCTTGTTATCTATGTAGCTTTTGTACCATTGTTGATTTGTAAATTCTTCAACAAATACATATATACATATTAAATAAATATCAAATACATACTGTACATATGGGACACGAACAACCATCTGCCACAAGAAAATGCAGTGCAGTGTTTCGGATATCTTTTTTGCAAGTTTAAAGCCAGATGTATGGGTGTTTTAGTTATAGAAGCATTTTCACAACTTTTGTAAATGATATTTCACTTAAAGGCACGTCTTTATTACTCTAATAGTCTGGCCCAGTTTATACATCCATTATTTCAAAACTATAGCTGAACAAACTAGACAGTTCCAGGAGAAACTTTGACGGAGACTGCCATGTTCCGACCATTTAAAAATGTAGATTTGACAGCATTTTTAGATTTGAATTCAGAATATGTTGTACATCACTAGCAGGTACCACCACACCAAATTTCAGCTCAATATATTTTAAAATAGCTGAGTTATCATGTTTTTTCCCTTTTAGCAAAGGTGGCCATCTTGAATATTTTGCATTAGGTGGCTACTTTTCTAGGCAGTCCCCAACTAACAAATCAACATTTTAGCTGCTATACAAAGGCTTCATCTTGTGCTTTAGAATATATAATTTATACCTTTTTAGAGGATGTAGCTTTTTTTTTTTTTTCTAGTAAGAGGCTCTCAGTTCTTGAAAATATATTTTTTTATTTCATTTACCCTTTATTTATTCAGGTAGTCTCATTGAGCCACGAGAACTCATTTTCAAGAGAGACCTGTTTAGGGAGCAGATGGGGGTTAAGGGCCTTGCTCATGGGCCCAGAGTGGGGTGAATGAGGATGGGGGCAAGTGTGGGTGCTTCACCTACCCCACCCACAATTTTGATGTTGTCGGGGCCAGGGCGTGAACCAGCGATCTTCGGATCACAGGCCCACCTCTCTAACCTCTGAGCCACGACTCCCCCCAAATGTAAAATATAAATTTTGGAACAATAAATGCCTCCAAGTTAAGTTTTCTCAGAATTACTGTGATACTTCCTGCATGGTTCCTAAGCCAGAGATGATTGTTTGAAAGGCCATTCCTTATTCAGACACTTAAAAACAAATATAAATGTTTATTTACATGTACAACAGATAAATAGAAACTCTTACTTAAGATTTACATGACTCCCGTGTTTTTATTCTTCTTTTTTTTTAGTACAAAACTGTTTTTGGGGACCATTTGTCTAATGTGAAGATCAACCGGGACAATGTGTCTGAAGTTCTGCAGATGTACATGGAGAGCCACCCTGAGGAGACACAGCTGGCTTCTCTGGCTATTAGTCTAAAAACAAAAGCTTTTCAGGCTCATAGTCCGTCACAGAAGGCTGCTGTGCTGGCATTCTTGGCAAACGAGCTCTGCTGCAGTAAAGCGGTGATCAGGTAAGAACTCATCTTGTTTAGTTGTTTGGGTCAAATTCTGTAAATAACTGAATGCACAGTCTCATACCATAATGTGAGATCTTGCAAGATGTGTTAGCTGTTGAGTATGTGTTAATGTCTTCCAACTACTACCACCACACCAAATTTTAGTTCAGTGTCAGTAAAACAGGCGGAGTTCATAGCTGTTTTTGTGTTCTCTAATTCAAGATGGCTGTGGCAGCCATCTTGAATTGGATTGACTCCAAAAGTTAATCAATTGTATATTTACATCCTGTAATTATTTTTATGGGTTTCATCAAAATTTCTTATTTGATTCATGAGATATTTCGCTGACAGAGTTGACTCTCAATAGTTAATGTCCCACGTTTGAAAACGGTCTCACTCGATCAGTTACAGATTGGAGTATAAGTTGGAGCTGACTCTCGGCTACTAACACACCATAATTAACGCCAGTGTAAAAGTGAGTTAGAGCCATGCTTGTGTTTGTGAAAGACTTTTAGCTAGGGGTGTAACGTTACGCTCGGTTCAGTTTCAAGGAGGGCTCAGTTCGGTTAATTTTTGATACAAAAAAGGCCAAAAATAAAGACTTACAAAATGTTTATTTTGAAAATATGCCAAGTAAACAAGTTCAGTCATTACAGACTTCTTAGCTGGAGGTGATCTGGTGGATGAAGAAGACTCAGCTGCTGTCATCCTCAGACTGCAAACAACACAGAGATAAAAAAAAAAAGAGTTAATAAGATTATAATTTTAAATTAAAAAAGTTTATTAGATTACAATAATATCTCTTCTTGCACGGTCATCATATGAGGTGGTTGAATATCCTCTCTCGCTCATCATCGATGTGGCAGGGCTTTAAATCTGGGGTCATGCCTGTTGATGATCAGTTTTTAGCTTTTTCATGAAGTGCTGACCAGAGCATGAAGTTACTTGTAGATGGACTTGTGGCCTTTAGCTTTTAATATTTGTATCTATAATCTTTACGAGCTACTCAGACAGCTATCCCTTTTGTTTTCTCTGCTTCATCATCAGTGTGGTGGACACAACACCAGCTGTATGTTTGTTGCCTTGAAACAGGATGAACAACATGACTGATGATAAACCTGAAGGGATCTGTGATGCTAATTAAACCCTTAGTTAGAAACATGGCTATGATGCAGAAATTATTACCAGTAGTTTCTTTAAGGGTATCCTCTAATCTGTTTGTGCTGTTTTAGCATAGCTTTGTAAAAAAAAGAAATCAACAAATCACAATTTTTGTTCACGCTATCATAATGATGGTATGTAGATCTACATTAGACAGTTGCTTTTAACTGAAAAAGTTTACGACAAATGAAGCTTTTTTTTTTTCAACGAGCTGTAAGGGGACCAGCATATTTATCTTCGTCTGTATAATGTGCAAAACCCTGAAGCAGAAATGTTTTACCATGTGACACATAAAGAAAAATATATTGGGTGTTTTTAGGTGCACTGCTGCAGCCTGAGACTTTAAGTTAATCTTAAAATGGAGTCTGCTGGCTTGTTTAGTTCATGGAGGCTTCAGCTGTCTTGAAATGATATAAATGCAAAATCTAATATGACAGGGCCTGACCGTTTCACAAGGTTGCATCAAACATTACCCTTACACTTTGAAACACACCTGATGCACTCTGTGATGCGTAATAAGCGTTGCGTAAAAGAGATTCATGAAATGTGGGGGAAAAGCAAGAATATTAGTTTATTGTTGGGGGAATTAAACCAGGTCTGTGAAAACATCCCCATTGGGTCACCCTTTAGATTCCTCTGGCATTCAAAGAGTTGACGGTTTTATCTGATGTTTTTCAGTGAGATTGACAAAAAAATCGATCACATGACCAGCCTGAGAAAGGATAAATGGTTTATTGATGGAAAGTTGCGCAAGTGAGTAAATGGACAGTCAGAGCTTTTATTTGAAAGTTGTGCGCATATGGCTAAGTATTTTGTATTTAAAATAAATCTCTAAAATAACTTTCTTGTGTTACTAGACTAAGAAGTATCCATGCCAGAACTGTGGGAAAAAAAGACAACGGTGTGGGCAGCGAGAACAACTATAACTTCAAATGCTCCTCCTTCAAAATTAAATGCAACAGGAAAGAACGAGATAGTGAGGAAGAAGAGGAGTACGAGAATGACAGTGAAGATCAAGGGCATGGCAATGACTTTGATGATGAGGAGGAAGAACCAGGGAGAAATAAAAGGAGAAATACAGAGTTTTGTGAAGAGGTCAGGAGCACTATAGTACTTTTCTACAATCCAGTGGTCATATCAATGTTTGTTTATTTAAGCCTCACATTAATGACGTTTGGTCTTACAGGATGGTGTGCACTCAAACAGCATGGAAGAACTGGAGAAGCAGATCGAGGACATGTGCAAGGTAAAATGAACTCTGAGACGCTTTATGTCTATCGTGAATGGATTAATACTTCAAATGATTTTTGTCTCTAAAGCTTCGTAGTCAAATCAGACAGGAACTGTTTGACTCGTCTCACTCACTGCGCTCCACAATTATTGGAGAGGACCGATACAAGAGGCGATACTGGGTCCTTCCACACTGTGGTGGCATCTTTGTTGAAGGCAAGGAGAATGTTGATAAATCCAAAAGTTTTTGTGTCCACTGGGCCAGAGCTGACTTTGCTTTTATGCTCGTCAGGCTGTGAAGAGGAAGAAAAGGAGGAGATACCGCAGGGAATCAAAGTTCAAAAGGAGCAGCAGGAAGAAGAGAGGAAGCCGGAGGTGTTCCTTCCAGTACAGAACTCAAACTGTGATAACATCATGCCACGGTGCCCACAAAACAACAACAGTCTCTACCCTCAAAGCCTTGGTGAATTACCTGCAGTAGACAAAATGGTTCAGGGTTTGGACTTAAATGTTCAGAACATTCCTTCTACAAACTCGAAGTCTTATCCCTCTCATCCTACCACACAAACTGATATGTTTAAACCACCTGAGCTCAAACAATGTATCGGGGCCTACAGCCCTCAGTCTGTTCTTTATTGTAACGGACTGTCCAAAATATTGGCTGAAAAGCACGGCGTGTGGTTTAGCCTCCTGCCCCGCTCTCCTTGTGACGGATCCTCTGTGACCTTAAGCTCCAGTTCTCCAGCTTCCCAGTCATGTTCCAACCCTTTCTGGATAAAACCCTGCTCGTTTACCTTCCCTAAACCACCAGCATCAGCAAACCACAGCACCACAGCTGGTATCAACAGTCAACAAGTGCCTGATCATCATGTAGGTGGATAATCATTCTTTTATCTTGAGCTTGATTGTTAAATTGTTTTTAGATTATGCTTTAAGCTGTAAACTAAGCATAGTGCAAAAAACAAGGAGATTTTGGTTTGGTCAGTTATTTCTTTGATATGCATTTTGATAGTAAATCTTATATTGTTTGAAAGCCTGTTTATTTCTCTCAATGGTCCCACATTTGTTAGGAAAAATGCATTTGAAGGCTGCACCTATTAAAATTAGCCAATTTTCTGCTATTGACTTGTTTTGAGCTTGTAATTCCACCTGTGATCATGGACCCAGCTACAGTGATCAGTGGCCACATTGGACTGATCTGGATAGAGCCATGCCAAGGCAACTTCAGGAGATGTCAGACAGGCTGTGATGTGGGCGTCCTACAAGGTGAGATTCTGCAACCAGTGGTAATCTCATATCCACAATCTTGGACATGAACTCCATCCTCCAACATGAAAACACTTGCCCCCAAACAGTGAGGTTTGTGAGAGAATACCTCAAGAACATGGCAATGGAGAGGATGAAATGATGACCTGTCTGTCGTTTGACCTCAACCCCGTTGAAACCCTGTGGGATCTGCTTGAGCATGCCATTTGTTCCAGACTGACCAACACAACCACCAGTAGCTGACTTGTGACAGAGGTTGAGAATAAGATGTCATTCCACTGCTGTGTGTGGCCAAGCTGGCTCTTCCACGTGGTACAGAGTCCCTCATTCATAAAATAAATTATTAAACTGCCAGTATGTCTTGACTTCGATCACCCAGTTCAATAAATGGCACGAGTCAGTAGCAAAATAAACGGTTTGCTTAGCAGAGATTTACTCAACTGTGCTGTTTAACTCACAAAAGCATTTTCCTAACAGAAATGTCACAGTTTAAAGGGAAATAAATGGGCTTTCAAACATGAGATTTATTGCCAGCAAGTATTTTTACAACAACAACCAAAAAAATCAAATTTCCTTTTTGTGTTAAGTTCATATACATATTACTGTAAATAAAAGCGACAACTTTAATTGTCTATTTTTTCCTCTCAGCAAGTAAAGTCTGGCGTTCATCAGAGCCGACAAACCTTGTTCAGCTCAGCAACAAGTTCCACCTCGCCCATCTCTGACACCTCTCTGCCCCCGTTGCTGGATCTGTCCTCACAGCAAGCAGAGGCTAATGGGAACAGAGACCTCTGTCTGGCACAGAACGGCTCTATCAACAAGAGTGAGACCACAGACCTGCTAAAGGAGGACAAGCCCCTTTGTGCCTCATTCCCTGATGTGGAGTTGGCCACAGTGCAGGACTACCCTCAGCCTATTCCTAAAGGTAAGAAAAGCACATTCCACAAACGAAGTACGCTGGACTTTATTTATAGTTCATTGTATTTAGCACACTTAATCAGAATATCTCCAAACATGGGTGGATGGCTTGTTCAACAATATGTGCTAAGTCTGTACATAAATGTGTGTTGGCAGAGATGCTGCATGGCTGGTGGAGAGTGTCAGACATGGAGAACCTGCAGAGTCTGCTCAAGAACCTTCACTGTCGGGGCATCAGAGAGAGGGTTCTGCAGAAACAGATCCAAAAACACTTAGAACACATAAGCCAGCTCTTTGCCAAAAGCAAAAATGGTTTGTTTACTTTCTTTCTGCACAATTCAGCCATCAAGCAGTGATTATTGAACAAACATATATATTTTTTAATAAATATATTTATTGGTTTTAGTTGACAACAGTTGTAATATTTTAATTAACCTGTGTGGGCAGAGCTCGACATGACAGAACCAGAAATGTGTGAGTTAAGGAAAAAGAGAGTGGAGAGCTGGTGTGTTGAAGAACAGGCTATGGAGGTGGACGTTCATCTGCTGCGACACGTAGAAGCTCTGGAGAAGAAGGTCGTCTCTGCCAACCTGCAGGTCAAGGTGCAGGCAATTAATGTAGCGCCGCATTCTGTAATTTGTCTCATATTTTATACTAAACATCATTGTCTTGTCCTTGTTTCATCTATGTCGCTCAGGGTTGGATGCCTCGAGAGCCCCAGTCCGACAGTCATCATCTAGTTTATTATGAGCACAAACCTTCTGCTTCTACAGCTTTTCAAAATAAGGGTCCAAGAGAAACCAGCCAGAAGGAGCCTTCTGTCTGTTTAACACGGCGCGCCAACAATCCTCTTGATATAGCTGTCACCAGGTTCGCAGAGCTGGAGAGAAACATTGAGCGAAGGTACCTAAAGAAATGGAAGTGCAGCCGTTCTGGCGTCATATCTTTGTGTTTATATTACAGGGCGCGTGTAACAATAGATGCTATAAAATGTGCTGGTTTCCTCAACAACAACCACCATGTCCTGCTCTGATGTAAACTTCACATGCAGTCTTTTCTGTGCCCGTACAGCTGTAAGCAGGTGGTGGTTCCTGGGATCAAACTGCTGCGTAAAACCCTGGGTCAGGTCTGCAGCTCGGCTCAGCTGTGGCTCTGCATCCAGCAACTGCAGAAAACCATCACTTGGAAACAGACCATTATGAAAGAGGTTAGTTCTGCTAAACTGTTAAAAAAAATATACATATACCGTATATGTTTATATTCATTTTATGAAATCTGATCTATAGATGATTGGATAATAATTTTTTATGTAAGCTGCTGCAGAATAATATTAGCATGTCCTTTTTTCCCAATAAGTAATTTATCATGCTTCCTTTTCATTATATAAAAGTTTACAAAAGAACTACCGTATTTTCCTCCGTACATGTCGCGCATAAGTCGCATCAGTCCAAATATATCTAATAAAGTGGAAGAAAACGAATACGTTGCTTCGCCGTATATGTCACATCTATTATGTATAACCACTGACGCGTCACGTTTGTTACGCGTCACAGCTGACAACCCCGAAATGTGGGCCAGTGTTGTGTCAAAAATAGATTGGCTGCCAAATGGCGGGCACGGGAGCGTGCACGGGGGGACTTCAGTAAGAATTTAACAAGAGTAACACTTAAAAACAATTTGTTGCTTGAAATTATAGCAAAGGTGTGTCTCAGTTTAACTTTTGCTTAATAAATGCACCTTGATGGTCAAATGCACGAAAGCAGGAGCGCGCATAGGGACGACTCGCTGTGAATTTCTTCCGAATTTAACAAGACAACCACCTAAAAACAATTATTTGTTTGACTTTATAGTAAAGATGTCTCTCAGTTGAACTTTTACTTTATAAATGCACTTCAATGGACAAATTAGCTGCGTTTTGCTGGGGGCGGCGCAGTGAAATTAAACTGATTTGACGGTTTCTCCAGGCATGATCCCAGAGCTGTGGGGCGGCTGTGGCTGCGTGGTTAGAGCAGTCGTCCTCCAATGCGAGAGTTGGGGGTTCGAATCCACCAGCAGTCACATGCTGAAGTGTCCCTGGGCAAGACACTGAACCCGTCATAGCCTCTGATGTGTGTCCCATAGGTGTATGAATGTGATAAAGCTCTGATTAGTCTCATTAGAATGATTTGTTCAATCAGCTTTGTAGAGATCTAGTAGTGCTGTATGAATGGGTAAATGAGTTACAGATTGTAGATTAAAGCGCTTTGAGTATCTTGAAATAAGATAGAAAGGTGCTATATTAGAAAAAGAAAGGAGCGAAAGAAAAAAAGGGTGGATGAAGGTGGCTCTATGGCAAGCCGATTGTGTCATTAATAGCCACTTTTACCTATTACATGACACAGCGGCATGCCGTACTGCTTGAGTGCCATCTAGCGACTGAATATTCTTCTAGGATGCATGACTTTATATTCATTTTATGAAATCTGACGTATAGATGATTTGATAGTCAGTTATTTTTAATATAAGCCACTGCAGAAAAATCTTACCATGTCCTTTTTTCCAGTAAGTCTCATTTCTTATGCTTGCTTTTCATTATATAAGTTTACAAAAGAACCAACTTTTTTCACTTTGCCTGCAGTGACTTGCAGCACAGCACATACATTACTGAATTTGACGATATGCAGTATATCCATTAACATTTTAACCCACAGCACCTGTAGTGTAGGATGCTTATTTACTTTAAATGTTTTCAGCACTGCCAGCTCTGTCAGAAAGGAGATAATGAGGAACTGCTTTTACTTTGTAATGGCTGTGACAAAGGCTGCCACACTTACTGCCACAACCCCAAGATCACCACAGTACCTGAAGGAGACTGGTTTTGCTCATTTTGTGTAGCAAAGGTACGCAAACATCCAGATAAATCCACAACTTAGTCCATATGTATTTTCCCCTGCTTTTCATATTTTGGAGATGGGCAGATGGTGCGTTTTGTTTATATCTACGGCCTTGTGTGCACTCTCTCTTTCAGGAAAATGGTCAGTTGCCTCACAGCAGGAAGCAACAAAGCAGAACAGCTGGGGGAGGGAAGAGATGTAGGGAGGAAAATCGAAACTGTAAGCCATCTGTGGCAGGAGAGTACATCAGTGAGGAGGTTGCCAGCAGCAACGATGTGCCAAAAAGAGGTACCAGAGAGTTCAAAAAGAGGCGAGGAGATGGCTCAGATGCTAAGTGTGACAGTTCTGTCTCGTGCGCTAAAAGAGCCAAAACATCCAAGGACAGCTGCGGTGAGCTGGCGCTATGCCGGTACGTACATGCACACGCTTACTCTGTGTAGAAGGTCCAGTGGTTGACACTTTTCAAAACATTTTTTTGTTGATCTCCTGTACCAAGAAGTTCTAAACACTGAGCTTATAGTCAAAATAAATCTTGTTAAACTTGGTGGTTGTGTGGTTGTTCCAGACTGCTGCTGGCTGAGCTGGAGGCCCATCAAGACGCGTGGCCCTTTCTCACACCGGTCGACCACAAAGCTGTTCCTGGATATAAAAAAATCATCAAGAAGCCAATGGACTTCTCCACCATCAAGAAAAAGCTCTTGAACAACCTGTACGTTTTCCTGACACCATGCTGTTTCACATTTGTAACTTTACACAGTTCGTAACTTCATAAATACTTCTTTTAATGATTGCAGGTACTTGAATCTGGGGGGCTTCATCGCTGATGTGAACCTGGTTTTTGATAACTGTGTAAAATTTAATGAGGACAACTCTGAAATTGGGCGAGCCGGCCACAGAATGAGGACGTTTTTTGACAAACGACGGACTGATCTGCAGTGAAAATGTCCTTATTCAACTCTTTCTGTAAATTTGAAGGATGTGTTTTCACTTTTGACTCAAACAATTAACTAATAATAAAACTGACGTGCAAAGCAAAGGAGCAAGCTCATGGTCTATATGAGGCTGAATTTACTTTTGCTTATTTTAAGCAGTTCTGTACTCTGGAATCAGTTCTATTTAATTTTGTCATCTATCCAGCACTTTGTGTATTTCTTGTGAATTGTTTGTCCTTTCTAAGAAAATTGCATATAGCTAAAATAAAACTATATTGTTTTATGGAGTAAGGAGGTAAAGATTTATTTAAAACTTGGGGGTTCAATTGGAGACTAATGGTTATTTGATTTTTTTATTGTTTGAAATACAGATGTACAGACAGGACGTTTATTTAGTTTCTTAAAGTCCAGCAATTTCATGTAGAGTTTTTATAAAGACAAAAGGTTAACAATTGTAGAAATTCGTATGTCTGAACGTCTTTGTCAGAGTGCAGGTGAGATGTTGAACAATGGCCAAAACGCAAACTCACAAGGCTGCCTTACAGACTGAAACAAATTTATAAATGTGACATGTTTTTTAAATAATGCATATCAGGATAAGGAAATAAATCTGCTTTTCAGAGTTTGACCATAAATCTTTAATTAATGCATGGTCATTTATGTTTTTAATTGGGTTTGGAATCATTAAAATACTTGTAAGTACATGTAGCTGTAAAGTACATTTTGACCGGGTTAAAGAAAAAATAAATATCCACTGTCTTTTTTTTTACTTGGGGCTTTTTATAGCTTGAACAAAACAAAACATGAATGAATATTGATATTCCTAATCCTGTATGTTTTTCTTTTTTTTTTTTCTTTTCAGAAATGTGATTATTTTAAAATACAAATTAATCAATTTGAGGTGACATTTTATCAGCCATCTGGTTACTATAACTTCCAGCTGTACTATGCTGTTCGTTTAATCGGCCAGAAAAATTAAACATTTTAGCAAAATGCTGGAATAAAATAAAGTGCAGTTTTGCACACGGGCGACACTGAAATAGGTATTTTATAAAAGAATGGCAAATTATGGTATAGAAGGCCTGCTTTAATTAAAATTAAGTTGAAGTAAATATGTTTGTCTTCAAAATGTTCAGTATTACAAACAGCCATAAAGTTGATCAAATTCTTTGCTCATCTTGATCATTTCTATATTGCAAGGTGAAGCTGTTTATGAATAATTTTCCACATATAAAAAACTGCCAAGGTTCAGTTTAAATGTGTATAAACAAATATATTCTCCGACGTAAAGTTGCCAATAAATGTTAACTTAATATATTTAATGTAACTTTATATTCCACTCAGTGCATGAACCTTTTTAGTGTAGCAGGAATGTCTCTTGGTTGTAAATGTTGCAGAGCCCTGGGTTATCCATTAAACCTCAGGTTATAATCCGCATGACTCTGAGATAACCAGATGTTACTGATGTGGCAACAGCTGGCCTATAAGGAGCTGCGTTTTACCAGCTGAGCTTTTTTCTGTTTTAGCTGAAGAATTGATTAAAAAAAAAAAAAGGTGTCGGTGAGGTAAATATTTGGGCTTTTTGCGCCACCTTGTGAGTACACCGCTTCCCTCATCCACTCCACTTCAGCTGTGGTTAAAAAATGGTGTCTTTAATTCGCACTCTTCGACATCACACGGACGAGGTCAGCTGCTGCGCCTTCTCTCCGTCCCTCCTGGTGACCGGCTCGGGAGATAAAACCCTTCGCGTTTACAACACGGCGGACTTCTCCGAGCTTCCGTACTCTCCTCTGACAGGCCACGGCTACAGGGTCCACTGCTGCTGCTTCAGCTCCTGCGGCGGCTTCCTGCTCAGCTGCTCCACGGACGGCTCGGTCCTGCTGTGGAGGCCGGACACCGGTGAGCTGCTGGCGGCGCTGCAGCACCCGGAGCGCAGCCCGCTCCGAGTCTGCGCACTGGCGCCGGACTCCTCCCTCCTGCTGGGCGGGGCTTGTGACGGCACCGTGGCCCTCTGGGACCGCCCCTCCAAAACTCTGCGCAGGTACGTCCATAGATATAAACGCTAAACAAGGTCAAAGGTCGTTCTTAGAAGAAAACACCCCCTGATTGTTTTTATGAAGTTTACATCAATGCGTTGAAGTCTTTTTTTAGTTTGTCATACAACAGTGATAAATATTTGTTACTGAATTTTTAAAAGGGTTACTACGCTGCCTTAAAGTATGGAAAATATGGAGTTTGTGACATGTTTCAGGTCTGGATAAGTTCAAAATAACATGGAGCTCAGGCCTCAGCCTGGCCCCTGGAACCAGGCCAAAGAAGGGGCTCCTTGGTTAGCCCCTGGTGAAAAGGCCCCGTGGGGCCCGTTGATTGAGACATGGGTTCGGGTGCTCTTACTGACGCTGGCTATTGGGAGAGGGAATGTCACCTCTCTGGTGAGCTTGTGGGTTGAGCGGTACCAACTATAAAGTGGGGTTAACTTCAATGCACAGCATGGGTTCTGGAACTAATCTTGAGTGAGTCTGGACCGTATTCCACTCTGGAAAGGCCCCGGGCTGGTGTGGACCCTTCACCCGTGTGCTGATTTTCTCTGGTAGATGAGAGGGTAACTTCCCTGCTCCTCTGGGTGGGGGGACAGACTCTGACTTGTTTGTACCTACAATGCTGCGAACAGCGTTATTAGAGTACCCAGCATTCTTGGACCCCGGTGCTGGAAGATCACCCGAGTGGTGTTCTGTTGTTGGACTCCTATGTTAGTTATGGTTTGTCCTTTTTTGTTTGTTTGTTTGTTTTCTTCTTAAAATCAAACAAATAAATACATAACTATTTTAGCTCAATGAACTGAAACTCCTGCTGTTTTGTGGAGCACAATTAATTGACTGATGGCTTCAATCCATCATTTTTAGAAACAAAGAGTGAAGCTCAGGGCTTGAGCTTGACAAAACAAAAAACTTTACACCTCTCGCTTCTGCCAACATCATCTTCATCAGCAGATGGAGTCGTCACACAGCTGTCAGGTTTCTTCTCTGATGTCTCGGAACAGAAACATTTAGTTTTTTCACCCAAAGCTCACTTTAGAAAATAAATCAGGAAAACAGACTAAATAAAAATAGTGCACAATTCCCTTAATAAAATTGTCAAATCTTGAAAACTATATTTGGAACTTGCCCCATTTGATTTTAGAACATGGCTCGTTTGTCCTACACGAACTGTTATTTTTACACCAATTTAAATGCAAGTTGCTGCTTTTTTATTAGAGGCCTCATGCACTGATAATGTAATGAATTAACCACATAAGCAGTTTCTCCTAAAACAATCTGTAAACACTTGAAACATGTTGAACTGTTTGTTAGGTTTTATTCGTTCTCAGTTCCTGCAGTCTGTCTGGGCCCTGCTGAGTTGCTCTGATTAAACGGAGCAGGACAGAACATTTCCCATCAGGCCTTGCTCCCCAGAACTCAACCTGTCCAAACGTTTCCTCTGAAAGCTGTGTTGCAGTCAGCGAGGACAGCGTCGTGGCCTGCTGCTTCTCTCCGTGTGGCCAGATGTTTGCGACCGGCTGCACCCGTGGGGACATCAAGCTGTGGGACGTCCACGTCAGCCTCCTGCACGCTCACAAGGACGCCCATGACTTGGGCGTCACCTGCTGCAGCTTCGCACCTCAGTTTAAAGTCGGTGAGCTCTGAGAGATTATCCCAACGCTTTCATTATTTCTTGTTCTCTTTACAGATGTGCAGTTGTGATTTCACTTGGATTGGGTTTGATGCTCCAGAACAATAACAAATATTGGAAATATTGTGATTTAGATTGATAAAAATGATGGAAAATTATATAAAAAACTGTAAATGTGTTTAGATTTTGGTCAGTTTTATGGACAAAATCTGCTATTTTTGAATCGGATTAAATTATTTAAAACTATTTAAATATTCAACCACAAAATAACTTTAAAATTAGTTTTTAAACAACAGCTTTACACTATGTGGGGATTTTCACTCAACAATGTGACTCAGTGCTTCTAAAACAAAAAGTGCAGCTGTGCAACTGACTGATAGGGTTCATATTATGAAAGTCAAAATATAAAGGTATAAATGTGATGTCATCTATAATTTTTAAGTACAGTTATTCAAAAACTGCATGTTAATATTTAATTTGTGCATTCGAAAAGAAAAAGCTGCTTATTTTGGCTCCCAGAGCAGTTTACTTACATTGCACATCTTGGACATTTTTTAAATACTTTTCTTAAAATAAATCTTTAAACTATAACAAGAAGATATATATTTTTTTCTTTATCAAGAGGACACTTCAAACATTACAAAAATTAAAAAAAGATCTACACTAAGATGCAAAGATTTGCTCAAAAGGATCTCTCATTGTGAACTGTTTGTTCAAAAGAAAGATAAAATATTTAAGTTCCTCCCGTAAAAACATCTGGCCACATCTAACACTCCCTGACCTTATAAACAGATGTTCATTTCTTTATAAACTGCGTCACCTGGCCTTTAAAAAAAAAGATGCTGAGTTTTATGACACTGGTTAAGTTATAAAAGCTTAAGATCTTGATGTTCATTATTCTGCATCATGTTTTTTTGTTGTTGTTTGTCTGTGTTCAGTAAACTATTAATCTGGCTAATAAACAAATTGAACATTTTCTGTATCTTTAGGTATTTGCAGCTCTGTTTTCATCAACTCATCTATTGTTTGTTAGAAGTACCTGTTTATTTCTGCTTTCCTTCTGATCACAGCACTAATTTTATTGCAGGATCTACCTGCCTGTGAACAGGCAGCCAGAACTGATCCGTCCCTGCTTTGTAAACTCAGAGTTGTTTTGTTCTGCAGAGAGCTGCTGCGTGGAGTTTCGACTGGTCTCCTGTGGCCAGGACAGCCAGCTGAAAGTATGGATTGTTTCCCAGCGTGACGGAGCAGGTAGGCCGACTCCTCTGCTCTGCCTGCTTCCTCAACCCAAAACAATTTAATCCATAATCCACGAGAAGGAAAACCAAAAACTGCTGCAACCTTGAAATCTCTGCTAAAAACAATTTTTCTTTGGCTTAAATTAGCTTCAGATTGACTCATTAATAATAAATCAGTGTGTATGAGAGAGCGAGATCAGGGAGGTCATCAGGTACAAACATACAAGTTCAGAGTCTGTCCGACCGCCTGCAGAACCAGCAGATTTCACTTTTTCCACAGGTTGTGTAATCAGATTACAGGCTGCATTTTCACTCTGTGATGGTGTTAGTTTCTGTGATGTGTTGCCGTGGCAACTGCTGCCTCTAGGGTTTGATGCATCCCGCATGGTGACCCCAAGTCCACTGTGATTTTAAATTTTTTTTCCTGAGCTGCTTGTTGAGGAACACCAACCCCGGTCTCAGGTTGAAGCGGAGCAGTAAGTTTTGTTTTTGTGAAATTTGAATTGATTTTATCGTAGCAAAAGGACTATAAGATTGAATCACTTCAATATTTTTAATAAAACGCTAAAACGTTTTTTTTTTTTTAATTTGTGAGTTTGAATGAGATGCTTTAAATCTAGATTTAACTGGAAGCTCTGAAAGGTGCGCAATACTTTTTGTTTTTACTTAAATGGTAAAATTTATTTTACTGGAGTTTCGCGGGTCATTCGCTGATAAAACAGGTTTTAGTTTGATTCAAGCACATTTAGAACAGACAACTCATAAAGATGCTTTAGTTGTGGCACACAAAGTTCACTAAATGTTCAATAGTTCAACCATGTCCCATCATAAAACCTAAAATGAGTATTTATCCCAAAGTATAACATAAATCAGTTCTAAAACTGTGATGTGGCTACTACTTTTCTCCCGAGCCTGGTAACAGACTGCTTCAGACATGGCTGAAGAGTGTCGAGGTTTACAAGATCTGTGACAGCAGTAGAGCTATGGCTAAACACAATGACTTCAGTCTTCTGATCATTAAAACTTAAAAAAAAAAAAAATCGAAGCCATCCATTTCTTGATGTCATCAAGACATTTTAACAGAGGGTGAATGGAGCAAGAACTATTTGGTTTCAAGGGCAGATAAATCTGACAATCATCAGCATAACAATGGAATGAAAGACCATGTTTCCTCAGGATAGACCCCAAAAGGAGCAGATAGAGTGAAAACAGAAGGGGTCCAAGAACTGGGCCCTGCATTACACAAGTTAATTTAGCATAAACTGAAGTTTATTAATTAAACTTTGGATTTCTTGTTTAGTTTGACTGCCTTTATTGTATCCAGCATCAGATTCCAGTTTTTATTCACGTTTTGCTCCTGAAAAGCATCGGTGTAAAATAAATGATTCAGGATTTTATTTTATTGTTTTGGTTTGTTGTGCCTTTTGAAATAAATATATATTTGTGTTTGAGCTTTTTTTTAAAGACTCCTTAATGGTTAACCATTTTTGTGGATACAATTTTAAACACAGCCTTGCAAGAAGCTGACATTTTGAGATCTGTAGCTTTTAGATGTGGTGTTTTGTAGATTTTTTTTTAAATTCCACGCTGCTAAAAATATATTTTTTGTGTGTCTGTTAGCGAACTATCTCATGAACCGCTAGACAAATTTGAATGAAACCATCAAAAAGTAATAATTGGTTCAATGGATGTCCAAGTGATGAACTCTATTAATCAAGTTCAAACTAACAGGTAATCATCATTTGCACATAAAGGCCTATAACTCAGTCAGTTTTGCTGATATCGAACTAAAGTTTGATGTGGTAGAAGCTGAGGTTTGACCAAAATGACTACAACTGTCATTTGTCATAAATTGTTCATAGTCTAAAACTCGTGTAGGAAAGCTGGCGGGTGATTCCTTTGATGAACACTAGGCCTTTATTTATAGAACGAAATGAATCTCTGCAGATTAAACTGCTCAATGATGTGTGACACTGTTAAAACCTTAAAACTGAAAACCTCATTTGTAAAAGTGAAACGCTGATATGTGCTACTAAACAAAAAGAAGAGTATGCTTCTTCAAAACTAGCATCTGGAAACAAGATCATCAGTTCATCACAGGATGAAGTGAGGAGCTACAGACTCTGCCTTCAGCTGATCTTCATCACTGAACCTAACGTGCACGACTTTGGACTGTGGGAGGAAACCAAGAGAATCCAAATACAGCAATTTAAATAAAAACATTAAAAAAATACCAGCAACCTCAAAACTCCAGACTTTTTAACAGAAGATCTCAGAAGGGCTCAAACTGCCTTAAAATGTCTTATGTATAATTTGACTATGAAGTCTTTAGTACATTTTGTGCCATCTTCATTAAAAATGGATATTTGGTTGTTTGGTCTCCCTGCAGCTGTCAGCAGGTGGCAGAGCAGCAGGAGGGAGTGAAGCGTTGCAGAAAGAAAGTTGGAGCTTTGTGTTTATTAAAGATCTAACATGAAGCCTTATTTCTTTCCTGTGTGCGTGTGTGTGCGTGCGTGCATGTGTGTGTGTGTTGGCCTGCAGTTTGGGTGATGGAGCTGCGTCACACTCTCTCGGCTCAGTCGGCTCCAGTTCTGTCCTGTGTTTTCTCTGCTGATGGAGAGCTGCTGGTCTCGGGGTAAGAAGCTCCTCCTGTCACAGATGTGCCATTTTGGTTGGTATCACTTTACAATGAGGCTCCCTTTATAGACGGATAATAAATGGTTTATAGGTATATTATTAATTCCTCTATAAACACATTATAAATCATTAATAACTGCTTATTATGCATTAATTAAAGGTGACTCAGACAAAACTGACCAGTTTCTTTCCAAATATTGAGCCAAATCTGTTCACCTATATATTTCATTTAAGAGTTGTTATATTAAACATTTCAGACACGTTACTACCTTGTAAACACAATAAGCATTTGCAAACCTATTTTTTTAGGATATAATATTAGATGTAGCTACTTATAATGCAGTGATAAAGTACAATATTATATGCTAAAGAAACAAGTTTACAAATGCTTATTGTGCTTACAAGGTACTAACCTAGTCTAAAATGTTTAATATAACAACTCTAGATGAAATATATAGGTGAACAGATTTGGCTCAATATTTTGGCAAGAAACTGGTCAGTTTTGTCTCTCTGTCATCCTTAATTAATGCATAATAAGCAGTTATTAATGATTTATAAAGTGTTTATAGAATAATTAATAATGTATCTATAAACTATTTATTAGCATCTATAAGGGGAGCCTTATTGTAACGTGGTACCTTTTAAGTTTATTAGATGTATAATGGTTTATTAAAGCATCTCTCCATGATCTCATTCTACCCCCCGCCCCTGCAGAGTATTGATCAATTGGACACCTTTTCAATGAAACTCTTTCCTGAAATCCAACAAACTTAAAATTTTGCTAAAAGTTAATGTTGTTTTTTTCCTTGTGTGCGTTTGTCAGTAGTGTCAGCAAAATATCTCATAAACCAATGGAGACATTTTGATGAAGCTTTAGGGAAAAAAAAAAGTCACAGCATGTACATCAGCTAGTGTTTAACTTTTGGCATATACCCCGCTCATGATGGCTGCTACAACTAAGAAAACGATAAAACACACAAATGACTTCAACTGTCAGTTTGACGGATATTGAGCTGTGGTTGTGGCTGGGACTCCCCCCCACAAACACACATACTTTAATGCACACGTGTCAAACTTAAGGCCCGAGGACACGATGTGGCCCGTGTAAACATGTTATCTGGCCCCCAAGATGAAGTGTTAAATGCAAGATACTTTCACCGCCTCTCATTTTGTTTAAAAACTGAGCATACTTTATTTGGTGCAGACTTCTCGTGACAGTTGATCAAGTTTGAAGTAGAAACAAATGAGACATTTTCAGACATTTTTTGATTTTGATGTAGAAGGAGCAACAAAGGATGTTAAATGTAACCGATCAAACTGTTGTTGAGCAAGTTGCAACCAAGAAAAGATGTCTGGTTTCTGACTGGAGTCAATGTCTTGATTCAAATTGGCCCTTGGTTAAAGCAAGTTTTTTTATTTTTGCCCCTTTTTGTAACAGAGTTTGACGCCCCTGGGATTGTGCTTAACATAATGAGCATATTCTGACCAAAATGCCTCTGACACTGTTCTTTCTCATCTTTATGCTATTTTTGAAATCTGCCATGAAAGGTGGCGGGCGATAAGCAACCCTTTAAGAAATTTAATTATGCATGCAAGTTTTGCACACTTGACTTTATTTTCCTCTGATTATTCAACAGCTCGGTGGATAAAAGTGTCACGATATATGATGCTGTAAGTAAAGCACTTCAGTTCATTTAGCTTCTAACTGACAAAGATTTTTTTTTTAACCAATTAAATTCCTCGTCTCTAAACACAGACTCAGAACCTTACTGTTCTACTCCTTATTCTTCTGTTTACAGAACCAAGGAGCCTTACTCCACACTTTGAAGCAACATGACAGGTAAATCACCTCACCTCCTGCTGCGATGCAATCTCTGCAGCGATCAGGGCACGCAGCAGCCGAGGAGCCCCAGCGTTTCGCATCAGAATGTGTGATTTTTGCTTGATTGGCTTTTCCCAGAAGCGCCGGGTGCAGTGATGCAACAATAAGGTCTGCTTTTCTGCACCGTCATTGATGTAGCACCGCAGGTGAGGCGCAGCAGAGAGCTTTGAAGTGCATCAAAAGGATTCAGGATGATCTAAAACCATTTTTTAAGAGTTGAAAGAACTTGACTTTTTTTTTTTTTTCCTTTTTGGCTGAAAACTCCTGCCCCACTTTCAGTGTGTCATCCATGCCCTTCACACTCTTCCTCTTCCTCCTCCTTGCAGATATGTGACTGCTGTTGCTGTGTCTCCCACCTTGGGCTTGATTGCAACCGGCTCCATGGACAGATCAGTCAATGTATGGAGATTTGAAGATGGAGAAACTGGTAATTACACCGCAGAGAGCCCAATACCACCAAAGCCTCCCATAAGAGTGTTGTATTAGAGTATTCCTATAGCTGCTGCAGGAATGATGACTGATGTTTACTAGTGCAGCTGGGCAAACAACCACTGAGCCTCGGAGCTGTTGGTATAAAGGGGAATTCTCTTTTGAAATATAAAAACAAAGCAAGTTCCTGCTCATACAAGAGAAGCATTTGGAAGTGGAAAGGTGTGATCGATGCACATCTGGAGGCCTCAAAGCTTCTCCAGCGCAGCTCCTCCATCTGTTATTAGTCAGCGTGATGGTGACAAAGCCAAACTGCTTCTGCCTCAGTCTCTCGTTCCTTTAATCTTGTTCCTCTCTTTTCACACATTAAACATGTTCCCTTTCATGTTTTCCCTGCAGCGGCTGAGTCACAGCAGATACCGTGTCAAGGTAAATAATCGCCACCCTGATGTCGGAAGATTCAGCTCATTTCCGTGCATTAACTGGGATGTTTTAGTTAAAAACCTCACCGTTCAGATTGGAGTCCAGAGCAGCCTTAGGGCAATTTTACATATGGATTTGCTGATTAGTATTTTTTCTGATTGTTAATTTTATTTCGTGTAATGTGCAGCCCTACTTTTTTTAATTGGCTGCTGCTAAAACTCAGACTTTCAGAAAATAATGATTGGATGTTCATCTACAACTGGAGTCAGTGCCATTCTGGATGGTTGCCTCAGCTAGCTGGTTTTTGAAAACCTAGGTGGCTATGGCTCATTCATTTTCCCGGATATTGAGCTACAATGTGGTGTGGTAGTAGCTGAGAGTCAACCTGAACACATACTCTGAGAGCTAACACATCTCAAGAAATGACACGTACATGTAGAATGTCTGCAACATCAACCCTTTTTATCACGGGAGGATTTTTGTTTAGAAATCTGGTGCTAAAGGCTAAGGGTGATACAACTTTCTTGAATCCTGCACCTTTTTTTTTTTTTTTTTTACTAAAATGAGTCTGGGTTGATCTACTTCAGGAGCTGAACAGACAGTCTGGGTTTCCATTCTGGAGCTGGTGCCTCAGCGACCCGACCATAAGCTGGAGAAAATGGATGAATAAATAAAATGGGTCATTTAAAATGAAGATTCACTGATTGACTGTTCAGTATTTTAAAAAAGCCAATATTATCCTCGCTCGACAGCAACTAAAACTAACATTTTGTTTGGCGCGGGCATTTACAAAGCTGACTAAATGTGTCGTCAAGATTTGACTTTGCAGGCAAGCCGTAGTCGTAGGATCAATTTATGACAGTTTTTTAATCTTTTCAGAAGATTTGTTTGACACGCAGACTGTCATCAATCTTAAAACTTGACAGAAAGATGATGAAAAAGGTCTTTACAGTCCAACTAATTAAACACTGCAGTCTGATCGGTGCCACACGGCAAAGAAACGGTAAAGAATGTCAAAGTTTTGGCTCAGTGTTTCCATGAGTCAGCCTCCAGATGCTGCAGAGAAGACCTCTGCTGTAAAGACCCCAAAGGTGCATGTTTCTACTGAATTTAACTGTTCATATGGGAGAAATGGTTTTAAACGTAATGTTTAAATCTAAAGAATTGAGTTTGAAAACACATCACTCGCTTCATTTATTGTCAAATTCAAACTGAAACCACTTTGTTTTCTACACTCGCTCTCGTGCAAGGCGGACGCCTTTTCTCTCCCTTTCCTGTTCTCCTGCTTTTTTGCTCTCTGTCTGTATATCGGAGCTCCTCTTACCATCTTCCAAAAACAAAAACTACTGTCATGGATCTGATCAGCTGGACTTTTAACGCAATCGACAAAATCTTTTCAACAAAGCGACAGGGTCCTGGAGAGCCCTCATGCCACGCTGAGACACACGCGGAGGGATACGTCATGGATCCGTGGGGAGTTTGGAGCTGATGTGTCTCTCCATTTTGTCTCAGGAGGATGCTGAATATGTTTATATAATTGGATTCATGACAGCGGGGTTTCTGCTTTTTGGCATCAGCAGAGTACTATATTATCGGCTATTGAGGAAGATGACAGCTGCAGTTTCGGCCATGACAAAACTGCAGAGTCTGTGTGAAGGTTTGGTTTGTGCTTCGAGTACTCAAAATCAGCTGAGTTATGAGCTAAACCGTAAGATAGAAGCAATTTGTGAGAATCGAAGGCCACTTGCAGCTTCTGTAACTTGCCAGCATGTTGGAGACGACCTTGGAGGAGACTCATAAGCATGGACCAGTGGAATGCCCACAAATCTGGCCATTTTGGATCTGGAAAGTACCAGCAGGACTCAAGGCTGACAAGAAAATAACAGTCTGCCTGAAAAAAAATCAACAGTTGTGGCTTATCTGAATCTGACTCCCCAGTTTGACCTCGAAAGCAGGCGAACTTATCAAATTTCTTCTGAGATATGTGTAAACTAAGGAAAAGCTTCATCTGTCACCCTCCCGAAGAACTTCTGTTACAGGCTTATCAGAACTGTGCTGGCTGACACCATCTTATCAAGACTATGGTCCATATGGAAGTGCTTCATGGACAAATCTCACCGTCTTGCTGTCAAATGCACATGTAAGGTGTTCATAAATGTGCTTGCTGGTAGAGTTTTTAATCTCAAATCGTGTCCTGATAGGACAAGGTGTGAAGAAATCTTTTTTGTATTACCACTATCCTCTCCTCATGGCCTTTCCCGTTTTACACCTCTAAACAGTATTCTGAAAAAGGCTAAGGGGCTGTGCTCCAGTAGTAGCAGCAACGTGCACTCCGCCCATCTTTCGGATGAACATACTGTATGAACATAATCTCACTGTTTTTCAGTACAATTATAATAAAGCTGATTCTGAAGGGATAAAGTTACAGCCATTCTGGTTAAAATTTAACCAAATATGAATACATGATGACATGGATACTATGAGGGCTTCAAGGTGCATTTAATGCTCAGTGTGTGAAGATGATTCTCAGCTACTACCCCACCAGATTTTAACTGAACGCCTTTAATTGAGTTAGACATTTCGTACTCAACCGCCTCCATCAAAGTGAAATTTACACACAGCAATTGCTTTGACAGTTTCATTCACACTGGTTCACTGGTTCCTGAGATATTTTGCTAACATTACTACCTATGGTAGCAGGCGTCCAGGCGATAACAACCACATCGGTTCAAATACAAAACATTTTAGGGCTTTGAACGGAACACGGTTACACGTTTATCTGTGAGATAAATGGCGGCTGCTCCTTCAGATGAGTGAAGGTTGATGACATAAACTAGTCTTTTTTTTTTTTTTTTCTTGCAGGCCTCCCTGTGAGGTCAGGAGTGTGTTTGTGAGCATCACTCATGCTGAGGAAACTCTTTGAATAAAAAGCAAATTCTCAAAACCGCGATCATTAATTCATCGTCTGAGCGACTCAGTTTTAATGTCATGTCCTTTTGAAGTGATGGAAATACAGCCGTGTGTGTTTATATGTGGGTGGGTGCACATGAAAGTAATTATCACGCCCATATCAGCGCTCAGGGAATGTGTCTTTTTTTGTGGCGCTTGAGAGGAAGCTGTTTGTTTGCAGGAGATTGGAGGGTAATAGCTCAGCACTTCCTCACATCCTGTTGTGTGTGTTTTCTGCAGAAAGGAAGCTGCCGGGTCACTCCAGGCTGCTGCTGCTTGCTGATTGGACGGAGCGAGACGTGCAGACTTGGCTGCATGAGGAAGGACTCGAGGAACTCGTCGCAGTCTTTAAAACCAACAACATCGACGGACCAGAACTTCAACATCTGAACAAGGAGATGGTGGCTGAGCTGGGAATTGGTAAGGATGGAGGGAGGATACTGGTGTACTGATGGGACACTTTAGGATCCAAAAGGTTTTGTGTGAATCTCTGCTCTTAAAAAAAAAAGGCAAAATTGAGAAAAGTACAAGTTCTTTCATTCACTTGGTGATAGGTTTCAGCATGATCCTTCCACTTCTACAGTTGCACATCATGCAATAAGAACCTGCATGATGACCTTTAACCCAAACAAAGATAATCCTCCTGAAAACAAGATTAGCAGCATCCAGTGGTGCAGTGTCCAGTCGTTACACAAACTGTAACCAGAGAGCCAAAGCACAACAAGCAGCAACAGGACACAGCAGGAGCAAATATACACTCAAATAAAGGCCCAGCATTCCTTGAAAGAGTTCACATCACACCCGGCCCAAAACATTATTCATGTTCAAGTTCAAGTCAACTTTATTGTTGTTTCCATCACATGCGGTATGAGGTGGAATGAAATGATGTACACAGGGTCCCAGTTACACCCAATTACCATTATCACTCCACCTTGGCAGACGATAAGTACTTCAAAGATAAAAGATGCATGAAGATATTTTCCTAATATTGATTTCTGTACAACATAATGTCAGAAGGTTGAACTGTGTGCGTGTTGACAGTAACAAATGTAACAAAGTAACAATAATTTATTATTTTGATAATACACATCCACGTGTTAAAGAGAATTCTTCAACCTAAGCTCTTGACTCTCGCACGTTCACCAGAGGTGTTTCCAGTCAGCAGATGATGTCTGATTAGTCAGCACGGGACGTCTTATTACTGAACGTTCCGACACATCTCATCACTCCAACTACCTCCATGTCCTCAAATCCACTGGTAATAAAGTTATTACTCGTCTCCTGACCCTTCAGACATGTGGGCTTCTGTGGAGGTGAAAGTTTGTGCTTTTGATGCGATTTACCATCTGAAATGGTTGATTTAAAGACAATGCCCTGAATAAAATATCCAAAAACAGACAAATAGCACACAAGACTTTACCGTATTTTTCAGATTAAAAGGCACACTTAAAATCCTTTAATTTTCTCAAAAATCGATGCGCCTTATGTATTAATTCTGGTTGTGCTTATTGACTTCGAACCGATTTTATATGGTTATTGTGAATGAGTGGAATAAAGTTTGACTGATCTGTTTGTTTCGCTTAATGCGCCTTATAATCCGAAAAATACGGTAAATTAACTAGATCTCTCCTGCACCTACTTTCTTTGGGACTTAAAGAAAATGAAGCCAATATTTCTGCCTAATGTCCACTATAGGAGCATTAACTTTTATTGTATTTGTACATGAAAGGTCACATATAGGCCTGTCGCGATAAACAATAAATCAAGTAATCGTATAATGAATGAAAATTATCAACCTCATTTTCATTTATCGACGTTTCTTCGCGTCTCTCTTTCTACTGAAGACACTGGATGACAAAAGGCTCAACTCCGGTGCTCTTCACTGACACCTCCCTTTCTCTTTAGAATCTGTTTTAACCGTCCAAAATCATGTTGCTAAAGCTAACAGGCCGACCTCGGGAATAAACCTCCGTCTTGTTGAGCTCCAAAATTCATGGGTGAAACCCCTGCCTTCATGTAAAAAGTTGTTTTCTCTGTAAAAAGAAGCTGGGAACTTGTTTAATGATTTTTTTTATTAAAAGCTTTGTGTGAAAAATGCTATGCTAAGAGCTCGAATCAACGAACGTCCACCATGTCAGCCCATGTCATGTCAAAGGCCCTTCCTCCCATTTTTCTTAAAGAGACACGCTGCTCAACTATCCATCCTTTGTTTCAAACAGTCTTATACTACCATCAGGTGGTCAAAAAAAGATACTACACTCCAAACAAATCAACGTTTCTTCTAAAATTTGACAATTAATTATTGTTAAATGTCAAACAATATTATCGTTTATCGCAATAATTTCTGAGACAATTAATCGCCCAGTAAAATTTGTTATCGTGACAGGCCTAGTCACAATGGTGCAGGACTTCAAGTGCTTGGGGCAACTGTCCAGGAAAACAGGGAGTGTGGTATAAAGGTAAAGAATAGCCCATGCAGGATGGAGTGGATGGAGGTCAAACGGCTTTCAGGCTGCTCCACCTCTCGTTTTAATAAAGGGCGAAGAGTAAATGCTGAGCTTGTTAAAGGTCATCTCTGCTTACTGAGTCTTGAAGATCATCTGCAGTTTTAACATCTATGAGCTGCAGTCCCTCAAGAATCTGTCTGTCTAGTTATCCTAACTAATTATTCAGCTAATACCACCTGATGGATTACATTAGAGGCATTTCATGTTTTAGTGATTCAGCTGCGACGTGTTGGAAGAGTAAACATCCTGCTTGCATGCAAAAACATGCAAACTATTACGTTAAAACGGCTTAACAACCAGAACAGACGTCTCGGGCCTAATTACGCCAGCTATCACTTTTAATCACATAACAGCTGTAATCAAAGTGCCTGCCCCCTCTCTTTGGCTGTTGTTTGCTTTAATTAGACAGCAGCCGAAGTAAAATCAGCTTTGCTTGCTGCTCAGTGATGTAAAGCGTGTTCATTGTGTTCATGATGGAGGACGGCGCTCGTTGTCATCACAAAATAAAAGTCCAGATTGCTGCATTACTTTTGTTGTGCTGCACAACGCAACCCATCATTTCCTATATGCATGCCGTTTGTATGTGTGTGCATAGGCATCAACTCGCACACACATACACATACACACATAACAGCAAATGAGATTTCAGCAAGCTTTATGAAATATTCATGTTCTGAGCAAAGAGAGAAAAGAAGCTCCCTCCCACTGCATCAAATTATCAATCTAAATGTAAAGTGGGTGGTGTGGAGATCTTGATGGAAGACGCAGCAGTTTATGAAAATCTTAAACGAAGCATTACAAAAGGTAAAGTGAAAGTTTTCCAACAAACAAGCGTTTCTTAGCCGAGTTAGAGGCCTGACATGTTCAGAGCTTCCTCCTGTTTGAACGCTGTGATTTCCTCCCAACTTAAGTTCAGACTTTCTGATCTGACAGCAGCTTGTGTCTGTTTTCCAGCCTGAGGTATCCTTGAGACAAAATCAAGTTGCATCAACTCTTTATGGTAACTGGTTCATGGAAACCCTGGCTTGTTGTGATCCTGCCTTCTTCCCTCCATCTTTAATTTCTGCCATAAATCAGTGCAAAGTGACGTCATATTCCTAAAGTTTACCACAGAAAGAGAAATGACTTATTTCCTGTTGCCAGAAACAGATTTAGAATTTTTTACATTATTTTTTTTTAGCTGGAGGCTGAATATTGGAATGATCATGTAACTGTGCATGTGTGTTGGCAAAATATCTCATAAACCATCAACCAAGTTTGAATGAAACTCCCAGTACTCATGCATCTTCAAATGTTTATGACTAACTTGACTGAACCTAATTCAAGATGTCGTCACAACTAATCAACCTCAGCAAACACATAAATGACTCCAACGCTGTCATTTTTACAGACACTGAGATAACATTTGGTGTGGTAGTAGCTGAAAGTCATGCACAACACAAGCTCCGAGCACTAACGGATCACACGTTTGTCTAAAATGTGGGGCAGCGGGCAATATGAACTCCTTTCAGGAATGCTGCTTTAATTAAAGCTAAATTTGTCATTTTATGACAGTTTATTTAAGGGTTTTTGAATATTTTAGAGCATATATTTTAAACTATATTATTTTCTATGCTATATTTGGTCCAGCTTTGAATGGTTTGATCTCTAAAAGAACAGAATGTATGATGTTTTTTACATCTTCTTTTTAACTAGATGAATTTTAGTTAGATGTTTGGACACACATGAGTGCCAATGAGTTTTAGAGCTGCAGCTGATCCAGCCATGAGATTAGATTATTTTATTTTTTCTAAATATTCCTTAGACTTTGGATGTATAGTCGAGCCACGAGCTTCAATAAACTTCTGTGACTCCACAGAACAGGAGAGCAAAAAAAATAAAAAATAAAAAATTACTGTGGGAAGGCAAAATCTGCAAAAATGTGACCAGCATCAGAAGAAGACAGGACTGACTGAGCTCTAAATATTTGCAGCTGAACATTTTAAGTGTAGTCTTGCGGAAACTAAAATGCAACAGAAAACAAAATTTTCTGAGCCAATCAGAAAAAACCCAAAACTGTACTTAAAGAAAACGGGCTAAAGATGGTAGAAGTTCTACAACATAACGATCTTGAACGCACCTCAAACCCACAATAGACAACTTGAAAATGCAGATTTATCCATGATTTCCACTAAATGACTTCAGCAGAGCTTCACAAACAAGATGGTGTTTGTTAATAAAACAACATAAACTTCCCCAGGTAATTAGATATTTGGCAGTGGGCAGAATATAATTAGATTTACACATTTAATTTAATTAAAAGTTACAATTTTGTAGTATTGAATTCAACTTTGAACCTACAAAGCTACAATGTAGATCCAGACTTCTATGGGAAAAAAGTGCAAACAAACAGAACATTTATACACTGTAGCATCATTATCTGGAGGGAGATAAAACACTAATGTAAATTATACAGTGCCTATTCGGACAACTTCCTCAGGGTTTTACAGCGTGGCCCATAAAATGTCACTGCAGCTGTTCTCAGTGTCTGAATAAGACCTGCTCCTCTCTGCCATTACTCGCAGACGCACAACTAATCATGTGCAGCCATAAAGGTCACCCCTCCCTTTTAGCTGCTGGGAAAAATTTGCTGCTGATGACAAATTCAAAGGGTACTGTCAGCAGGCGGAGACATGCAGCTGCGTGCAGTGGTTTACTCTCCTTTTTGGACTCGTTTGGAGTTTTATTGTCGGGCAGGATAAGTAGAGATGTTAACTCACCCGAGTTGTGGAGCAAAATGTGACTCGGCACAGATTTCGGCTTTTTTGTTTCCATCAGAAAAGTGTGTAGATCTGTAGCCTTACTGATTGGTTTCATATCAACACAGAGGTGAGACGGTCTTGAATGAGAAAATGTTCAGATTAACGATGAATTAAAATGTTATGACTGCATATAATTATAGACCAATATCCTTGTTATCACAGTTTTCAAAAATTATAGAAAAAATGTTTGTGACCAGATTAGATCAATTTATTGTAAACAAAATATTCCAACTAGCAGTCAGTATGGGTTTGGAGCAAAAAAAAACTCTACATCGATGGCTCTCATGGAATTGATAGAACAAATAACAACTGCTGTTGATCTAAAACAATATTGTGTTATTATTTTTGTTGATTTAAAGAAAGCATTCGATAATATTAACCGCATTATTCTCCTTGAAAAATTACATAAATATGGCATTAGAGGACTAACACTACAGTGGGTATCTAGCTTTTTGAAAGATAGGAAACAGTTTGTACAAATAAATGATGTAAGTTCTGACCTCTGTAATATCACATGCGGAGTTCCTCAAGGTTCTGTACTTGGAACAAAGTTATTGATTTTATATGTGAATGACTTGGTAAATGTGTCAGGACTCCTTAAATGTGTTTTATTTGCAGATGACACCACATTTTTTTGGTTTGGGTAAAGACATAGAATGGGTGTTGGAGTTGATGCAGACAGAATTTATAAAAATACAAACTTGGTTTAAACTTAATAAATTATCATTAAACTTAGATAAAACTAACTATATGATATTCAGTAATAGAAAGAGAACTGTCGATGTTCCATTTAGAGTTGAGGGTGTTGAGATTTGTGGAGTTAGTGAGGTGAAGTTTTTGGGTGTCATCATTGATGAAAAGCTGGAAACATCACATAAATTCTGTAAGAATAAAAAATAGCTAAATCTATTGCAGTACAGTAAAGTAAGGGAGTTATTAAATGATAAAGCTCTGTATATGTTGTTTAACGCAATAATTGTTCCACAATTAATCTATTGTATTGATATTTGAGGGAAGCGTGCAAAACAATTACAAATCCTATTTTTGTTTTACAGAAAATAGCTGTAAAAATTATTACTAGAAAACATTTCAGTCACCCATCAAGTACTTTATTTTATCAAGTACATTATTTTATCAACTGAAGTTATTGAAGTTCCATGATTTTTAAGATTATAGTATTTTATCAGTTATGTATAGGGCTCAAAATAACACATTACCTTTAAATATCCAATTAAATTTTGTTATAAGACAGTGTTATAATCTTAAGGGGCTAGAGATATTCGTGAAACCTAAATTCAGAAATAGTTTGAAGGGACGGTCTACTTCAATCCAAGGAATTAGATTATGGAATAATCTGGAGTGAGGTTAAAAATGCCAGATCAATGCGTATGTTTAAGAGAATGATCAAAGTGGAGTTGTTAAAAAAAATGAAATAGCTTAATGTGTATTTGTACAAATTGTCGCTCAAGAAGGGGTTATTTATTTTGTTTTTGTTATTTAAAGATTATTATTGTTTGAATTATTTTTTGGTAAAAAGGGGCAGATATAAGATTTTTTTTTCTACTTTCTGTTGCCTTTCATTTTCTTATGTTTAAAAAAAATGAATAAACTTTATAATAATAATAATAATACTAATATAACAGGGCTGTGATTCCCCAGAGTCTTTGGGACTCCGTGGTCGTCTCCTGAGGAAAATCGAGGCTCTGAAGGCAGAGCAGAGCGGCTCCGAAGCCCTCGACGAGTTTCTGTGTCCAATCACCAGAGAGCTGATGAAGGATCCAGTTATTGCTGCAGGTTGGTTCAAGTAACAACAAAAACACAGTCTACAGATCATGCATCAGCTCACAATATTAAAGGAGCGTGTGCTTCACAGATGGCTATTCTTATGAGCGAGTGTCTATAGAGAGCTGGATCCAAGGTAAAAACAAAACCAGCCCCATGACGAACCTGCCCCTACAGACCCTGCACCTGATCCCCAACAGATCCCTGAAGATGGCCATAACCCGATGGAAGTCCAGCCAATAAGACCAGCAGCTTATTTTAGATCAGCGGTACTTACACTGAAGAGCACTTGTTCTAGAAAGATAAATTATGGATCATCACTGAGGTGCTTAGATCTTCAAGGACTCGTGCTGAGTCACATCTCATAAAATAATCTGATTCAGAGCGGTGGTTTAATTTAGCACTTTTTCTTCAGAAAGCCAGTCGGCCATGAGGCATTATGTTGTATGTAAACATAAAATGAGTGCCAGATGGTTCAAATTAGCTTTTAGCGTGCTGTCAAACTTTTGGTCTGACAAGATTGATGTCAGTGATTTATTTAGTTATCTAAGATGATGTTGTTTTTGCTAATCAAAAATATTGCAGTATTGCACAAAATTGGCATTTTTTTCTAAGAAATGCCCCTAAAACTGCTACAACTCCATTATTTCTTAAACACATTGATTATGTTGAAACGTTCATCTCTTATGAGCACTTAGGCTGTTTATTTTTAAAATGTGGCTGCAGAGATGAAGACTGCAGCCGTTTTGTCTTGAATACTTCAGTGACTCGCTCATTTAAATTAAGGAGCAGATTTATTAGCTTTTTGTGTAGTTTTATGGTGAAACTACATGTATAGTTAACACAATGTTCATTAAAATAGTCTGTAGTTACCGCATGTGGCCACAGGGGGTGCTGTTCAGCTACTTGGTTCCACTTACACCTTAAAAATAGCTTATAGGTCTTAAAATAAATTAAAAAAACCTCAACAAATCAGATTTTTTTTTTCAGTTTGTCTTTATTTTGTTCTCCCATGGCGACGATGGCAGTAATATTCAATTACAGTATCACAGCTAATAAAGCTCACAATACTGAAAGCATGGCAACAATTGCATTTAACGTAAATTGTAAAATAATCAAGCTGACGGCACGCGGCCCCTGAACGTCTTCGTTTTTATTTTTATGTTACTCTGTAATACAAACTGCAATTGTAGCATGCACTAAAATCTCAATATGTCTGAGAATCATAAAATGTCTTAGCTGTGCAAAAATAACTATATAAAATATATTGCTTTTACAATTGACCAAGCCATTGGCGCTGTGAATAAATTAACTAGACGGCAACAACAAGCAGATAAAGGAATTCAGTGTTAATGGTTTTATATCATGTACAATTATGTTTAGAACACCATTTCAACATTGTGCCTTAAACTCAAAATACACAAGTCAGTACTCTTAACATAGACCTTCACTGGAAAAGACATATTTATAGAATATACACAACATGAGGATCTAGAACGTCCTTCGTAAAACACAGGAATGCCCATCTCTTTGACTCAACCTTCCAATCGGACCACTTCCCCTTCAGCACACAATGCTGTGTTGGAAATTTAATTAACCGATACATTAAGCTGCACGGATGGACTGAACTGTTCTACAAACAAAATGCTTTTATTAATAGAAACAAAACACATTTGATTCCTTTAAAATAAAACATACAACAGTGTTCGAACAGTGAAGAGGTCTGAACTGATGGTTTCTCCACACGCAGCACCGTAGAACAGTTCAAACCACATATTTTCATTCAAAACTCTTCTGTAATGGCGATACACTAAAACAGCATGTGCTCTCCCGTGACATAACTGCGTGTAAAGTGCTTGCCGTCGCCGTTTTGCTGACCGGGATTGTACAACAGAGCTCCATCAGTGCAACGTTTCCAGCTTGGCTGAAGGACTGCGGACATGTCGTGTAACAGAAGCTGACAGCAGTAAGTGGCAGATCGGGAGGAGTAAAATCTGGAGCTTTGTGTTTGTATTCACAAACAGCTTGCAAACTATACTTACTCACAAGGCTTCGAAGTGAGACTAGGATAAGTTTGGGTTGAAGTTATAAAAAAAAAGGAATCAGTCTTTCTCACTCTTTTTTGCTAGTGACTGTGCGTTTTGGACGCGAACAAAGATCTAACATCTCTACACATTCGACTCTATAAACGACCGCTTTGGTTTCATTGAAGCTACGTGAATGGCAGGATTATCTCGGACCAGGCCAGGCGGCTTGGACTTGCCGTCTAGAAAAGTGTGCGCCATGGCCAGTACCGGCTTGGACTCTTTGTAACAGTTGGCCGACTGGCAGAACTTTTCTGCAAGTTCCTTGGCGTGCATGCCATTTTGTAAGTTATTCATGGCCATGCCGCCCTGCGGTAGTGGAGGTTTGTGCTGGTCCTGGTATGCGCTCGTCGATTTGCCGTCCATTGGCTGGAGGCCCGTTGCCGACACGTTGTGGCACAGCAAGCCGTCAGAGGAGTGGCTCAGCCAGCTGCGACTGGCAGACTGAAGGCTTGGATGCTGCTGCTGAATCTGCTGCTGAAAGCGGGCCGTCTTGTCAGTGACGCCCATGAAAGGTCTGGGTTTGTACTCCGCAGCAGAACTCGTCTGCTGGTTGTGCTTGGTTTTGTCGGGGATCTTGGAGCGGACGTCCGGTCCCAGCTTGCCGCTGTCTGATAAGCTGCTGCTGGACGCCAGGCTGCTGGTGGAACTGGACACACGCATGCTGCTGATGCTTCCGCCCTGACATCGTGCCGCACCACACATCCCCTCCTTTCCTGGGTCAGAGTGGTTCACCTGGTGTCCTGGACCGGAGCAGGCCAGTTCATCTAGAGAAGAACCAGAGTGAGTGGACAGCCGCTCCTGGCCCAGACCTTTGGAGGTGCTGCAGGACAGGAGGTTCTCACCGTCACAGCTCTGACTCATGGAGGTAGACGCCAATAACGCACGATGCTCATCAGCTGGGGTAGGCAGGGGACTGATGTCGATACCCGGACCCGGCTTCAGTGCGCTGGACATGTGTCTGCTCGGTAAAGGGCTGGAGGGTGCGTACTGAGATTTGGCTCCAGCAGTCCGGCCCCCCACAGCCTGCATGGAACTCATGTGCTGATTGGTCTTCACTATCTGAGCCTGCTTGGTAGGCTGCAAGACCAGAACCTGTTGAGCCAGTGCCTCCCGGTGCTCTCGGGGGTACCTGTGGGGAGGAAGTCTGCTGGGACCCGGGGGTGAGCTAGGGGTCTGATTTGGATGTCCCAGGCAGTTAACAGAGGCTGAATCTGCAGGTGAGAATCTGCTGAAGGAGTGACTGCTCTGGGACCAGCAGGCTTCACCTGTTCTGTCATGCTTCAAGGCAGCCAGCTCCTCCTCCTCGTCCTCCTCCTCCTCCTCCTCCTCTAGAATACCTCTTTGGCCTTCAATGCTTCTCGCCAGGCTGTGCTGTGAGGACTCGTCCTGCGCCTCTTCCTGCTCCTGGTCAGATCCGTGGTCTCCTGATGCCTGATTGGAAGCAGCTGCAGCGCCAGCGAAGCTTCCTTTGGTCTGAGTCCTCTGCATCTGCTTACACTCCTCCTCGACTCGAGCCAGCAGACGACGAATCTCTCGGTTATTGGGACACAGTCTAGCTGCTTCATGCAGGTCAGCCAGAGCCGCTGTAAACTGTCTACAAGGGGAGGGACATGGTCACCAGCTGCACAGCACATAAAACAAAAGCTGCTGGAGAGGGACTGAATACTTTACCTGCTGCTTCTTTTAGCTCTGGCTCGGGCGTAGTAGGCCTCGTATGATTTGGGCTTCAGCTCCAGCGCTTTTGATGCAAATTCCTCAGCCATCCCGAAATCCTAGGAAAAAAAGCACAGTCAACTGATACTTTCATCTTGCAACAATAACACAAAATATTCAAATATGCACAGTAAAATGTAACTGTCTGTAGCTTAAATATACTTTAAAGATACGTTGCATTGCACTACTAGCTAAATGCTTCATATATGAAGTGAGAAACACCGGACCTGCAGCCCGTTTCGCTCATCATCTGCAAAAATGACATAAACAGCTGGTGCGCGACAAGTTTTCCCGCAGGACTATGACTTATATACACAGACTGTTGTGGCAGTTTCACGAGAACGTTATGTTCTCTGGTGAACACATTTGAAATGTACAAAGCAGCTTTGTCTGCTCAAAACACCTCAAACTACTTCAACTGTCTTATACTACTACCTTTTAAAAATTTATATTTCAAGTTGGATGTAGCGGAAACGTGGTGTGTAAAGTAAATTATTTAAAAATAATGAAACAGAACACAGGCTTGGGGAGCAGAGGGAGTCTTTTGAGAGACTTACATTGGTTTTTCTGCGACAGCGGGAGAGATTGAGGAACAGCGAGACCCTCAGGTCTTTAAACGCCTTCAGGTCGTCACCGTATCCTTCTCGAGGAAACTTTTTCAGGGCGTACTGGTACCTCTGTGCTGCCTCTTTCATCTTGCCTTTCTGGAGGACACAAAGTGGGGCAGACATGCAGAGAGGAAGAGAACAGAAGCAGAAGGAAAAGTAGTGAGAACGATGGAAGAGGAGGACAGACGGAGACATTCAGCAGATATTCCTTCCAGTGTTTGTTTTCTGGCTCTGCTCCTTCCCGCCCATCAATTACATTCAGCTCAACCCAAACATGTCACATCTGACAGGTTTGTCCTTTCTGCTACAAAACTCAATCTGTTAAATGTCAAACATCAATCACTGCTCCTTCGGTAAGTGGTGTGGAACATGTACTGCTTTATTCAACTAAATGAGATATTTTATTTGCTTCCCTTCTGAACCCCACTCTGAAAAAGCACACACTTTCTGACAGCTCTGTTGATGCTACTTTTGTCTTTCTTTGACAACAACTAATCAGGAATATGGACTCAATTATTGACTAGAGAAACTGCATTTCCTGTGAAAATGCAGTGTGAATGCCTATTGCTGAAGAACTTACAGAAAAACAGCTGAAATTAGCTAAAAACATGCTGAAATTGAAGACCAAGCAGAAGAAAGCAGAAAGAACACATTTGCTGAATTACGTTTAAATGAGCAGAAATGAGCCAAAAAACTATGAAATTAGTTAAAAATGCTGAAATGAGAAAAAAAATGGCTGCAAAGTAGCTGAAAAGGCAAAAAGAAACTTAAACCACCAGAAAGAAGTGGAAGGAGCAGAAATTAGCTAAAAATATATGGAATTAGCTGAAAAAATTACATTTAGCACAAAACAACTAAATAGTAGCTGAAATAGCAGAAAAGGCTAAAACTAGCAGAAAAAAGCTGAAAGGAGCATAACAATCTGAAATTAGCATAAAGAAGTTAATTAGGCTGAAAGTAGCAGAAATTACCACAAAAACTTGAATTTATCTGAAAACGACTGAAATTAACTAAAAACTTCTAAAGAAAGTAGTTGAAAAGATAGAACAAGATTAAATTAGGAGAAGAAAGCAGAAAGAATACGTTTGCTGAAAGAAACATAAATGAGTACCAAAAAAAGGAAATTATCTGAAAAAAAAGCTTAAATTAGCACAAAACAGCTAACTAACAGAAGTCTAGCTAAAATAGAAGAAAAAGCTGAAATGTGCAGAAATAAGATGAAATTAGCAGAAAGAATTTAGAAGAAGCACAAAAATGTTGTCGTTAGTAGAAAGAACAGGAAAGCAGCACAAAACAGCTGAAAAAAACAGCTGAAATTAGTGGATTTTCTTTTTAAATTTGCACAAGGAAGCTGAAAGAAGCTGAACCAGAACGAAATGTGAAAGAAGCAATAAAAGGTTGTAAACAGATTTAAAGATTTGAAGGATGTAAAATGAGCTCAGTTCATTTTCTATGAAAAAAAAGTGGCAGAAAAGGCTAAAGTTGCACCAATACCAAAAGTCAGAGCAGGATTGTCCTAAAAGAGCTGAACGTTTTTGATTTATGATTTGTTGAACTAGCTTGGTGCCAAAAAATGTACGGAAGGAAAAATGGATCACAATTGTGTGAATGCTCCATAAACATTCGCACAATAAAGAAAGCTGCATTTTACACTTAACTGAACTTTACCTTATAAAGCAGATTTCCCTCCTCCATCAGCTTCTGCAGAAGAATGATGAGGATATCAGGCTTGGAAGTAGCCATGGCCCAGGCAGCATTCCCTGTTGACACAGAGGGAATATATTATGTTGCCGTTTTTGTTGCAAACCCAGCGTCGGCTTATACTTTTGAAATTGGTACAAGGTAAAGTTACCTAAAGATTGTACCTGATCGATCGTAAGGAGATGTTCTGTTGCCTTTAGTTTATTGAGGGCAGTTAGAGGAAAGAGTTAGGAGGGGAAGAGTGGAGAGAAGAGAGGTCATGCAACAGCAGGAGATGTCATTTGTAGCGAGAGGAAAACGAGTTACTAACTGCAGCGTGACAATACACAATTATGTGTCACTCAGCCTGAAACGCTCTCGTGCTTGCAGAGGGGAAGACACGGAGACAGAAAATGTAAATGTTCAGTCCATTATCGATGGCGCTCTGAGGGAGCACTGCAGGTAAGCTGCAGAACCAGGGAGCTTTGTAAACGTCACCTGGGTGACGAGTTCTACACTTGAAATTAGTCGAGCAGCAAATGAGGAAGAAAAGGTCCTGACATACCACTAAAGCCCAACACACACACACACACACACACACACACACACACACACATGCTGAAGGCTGAAAGAGACAGACGCAGAGGTGGAAACTGTTCTCCAACATTCCACAAAGTTCATCTGAGATTAGTTTTGGAACCATGGGAGAATGTTTCCTGCATTTCAGGACGTGGAAAGAACTCCGCCGCCACACAAAAACACAAATTCAGTCCCTGCTAATAAATATGTTTGTATAATAAAAACACAAACTGCTCTAACTTTCCAACAGTTTTATATCTTAAACATGTAATTATTCAAAAGAAGGGCTCTTACCCAGCTTGGCTCCTTTCTTCAGCAGAGTCACCACCACTGATGTGTTCCTACAACCGATGGCCCGGTCCAGAGGCCTCATCCCACTTTGGTCCACATGCTCGATCACTGCTCCTCTTTCCACCAAGTACTGGACCTACAGGAGCGCAGAGTCACGAGTTTGGCTAAAAATGGTCAATAAAGTCATTGAAATGTAAAGCTAAAAAAAAAAAAAGTTTCACTTACAATCTCTGCGTCTCCATAGAAGGCAGCAAGGTCCAACGGAGTTCTTCCGTTTCTGTCGGTGTGGTCGATGACGGCGCCTTTCTCCACCAGAAACTGCACCACATTCTTACGTCCTTTCAAACAGGCCCAGCTCAGGGGCATCAGTCCCTCCTTGTCCATCGACGTTAAAGAAGCACCTTCGGGTCAGACATCAACACGAAAGGTCGTTTATTCAAATCATGATTAGCATTTGTGTGTGAGGAGCTGCTGTTCACCTTTACACAGCAGAAACTCCACAGTACTCAGGTGACCCTCGCAGGCTGCCACCATCAGCAGAGTCCTGCCCTGCTTGTCACTGATGTTGATGTCAACGCCATGTTGCAACAGCAGCTCTGCAATCTGACAAACACAAAAACAGGACGTTAGATTTTTATCAAGCTGGTTCAAAGACATGATCCCCAGAAATCATTAAAGCTCAGTGTGTTGTCATTACACTTTAGTTTAATTGGCTTATCAATTTTTAATTCAACCAACGATAATTAGGCTCGTTAGATTTTATCTACAGTTCTTTTGTGGTTTGGAAGCTGCAAATGTTTAGGATCCACTGCCACAGTTCAACTAACGATTCAGCAGTCTGGTACCCGCAAATACATTTTATCAGGAAATAGAGTTGTGCTAGTCAAATCGTACCTGCCAGTGCCCCTGCCTGACTGCACAGAACAGGGGGGACATTCCCCGCCGGTTCACCTGCTGCACCATCGCCCCCTGCTCCAGCAGGAAGCTGCACACCTCCATCTTCCCCCGACCAGATGCAGCCGTCAACGCTGAGGAAGATGGGGGACATGTATTTATTAAGACGTCTAAAGGTTTCACTCCTTCCATCATCGTTACAATGAAACTGGTTTAAATATGAATATAGAACAGAGGCAAGCTCGGGAGGACAATGTGTGATTATGATTAGTTGACGTGTCGTCATGAAGCATGTTGAGCTGGGAAGGCTTGGATAAAGAGCAGCTTGGATATTGGCAGTGCTGCATTTGATACAGATGATCACAATATTCTACTACAGAGGCTTGAATATGATGCTGGGATTACAGGAACGGCTCTAAAATGCTTTAAATCATATTTATCTGATAGATTCCAATTTGTAAATGTAAATAATTAATCTTCTTACACCAAAGTTAGTCATGGAGTTCCTCAGGGTTCAGTGCTTGGACCAATACTATTTACTTTATATATGCTTCCATTTGATAAAGTTATTAAACAGCAAGGGATAAATTTTCATTATGCTGATGATACATAATTATATTTGTCCATGAAACCCAATGAATCCAATCAGCTGTGAATCTAATCTAATCTAATCTAATCATAATCTAATCATTGGTGTCCCTATTGAGCTTGTCAATTACTACAAATATTTGGGTGTCTTGGTCGATTCACATCTCTCTTTTAAGCTCCACGTTGAAAACTTAGTAAAGAAATTGAAAGTTAAACTGGGTTTCTTTTTCAGAAATAGGTCCTGTCTAACTCTGAATGCTAGGAAACACCTTGTAACGACGACTTTCCTTCCTTCCATTGATTACCATGACATTATTTACATGAACGCTCCTACAAGAACCCTGCAGATGTTGGATGCTGCCTATCATGGTGCACTAAGATTCATAACTGGCTGTAATTATTGTGCCCACCATTGCACCCTGTATTCACTGGTTAACTGGTCATCATTAACTTTATGCAGACTCTCTCACTGGTACATTTTCATCTTTAAATCACTTCTTGGTCTGTTGCCTTCATACATCTCCTCCTACATGTCTCTGCGTGAGCGCAGCTACAGCGTGCGCTCTCAGGACATTATCACGTGTTCACTCAGTGCGGACTGAACTAGGCAAAAGGGCCTTCTGCTACTCTGCTCCTGTTTCCTGGAATATCTTGCAAACAGATCTGAAGCTCTCGACCTTGACCTCTCTAATGGCTATCTGCTAAGTTCATGGCAAAAACCAACACAGACGTTCCTGTTTTTAGTATTTTACATTGCAGCTGTTTTTGTTTTGTTTTTTAATATAAAGTTCTTTAATTTATTTTTCCCAATTTATATGATTTATTTTATGATTGTCTACTGTTGTCATCATTCTTTGTTAAATCAGGTCTCTCTTGTAAATGAGTCCTGGAGGCTCAATGGGACTAACTTGTATAAATGAAGATTGAATGAAAAGTTACTTAGACTATAAGCATGTCTTAAAGACATAAAAACTTGGATGACCCTAAATTTTCTATTTTAAACTTACACTGAGGTTTTGGACCTGAACAATTTAGGAATACATTTTTCAGTCTTTCACCAACTCTAGACGGCATTAATTTGGCCTCTAGTTCTAATGTTAAAAAACTTGGTGTGATTTTTTTTATCAGAACATATCTTTTAACCCCCACATTAAAAACGTTACCAGAACCGCCTTCTTCCACCTGCGTAATATCGCTGAAATTAGAAACATCTCATCTAAAAATGATGCAGAAAACTGGTTTATGCTTTTATAACGTCTAGACTGGATTAGTGAAGCAGTCTGCTCCTCAGATAAATAATGTTATTAACTTACTTTTTATTTATTTGAATGTTTCTGTTCAGTCAGTGCCCTGAGATGACTCCTGTTGTGACTCAGCGCTAGATAAATAAACTGAATATAAACTGATACTTATTCTTCGCAAACAGAAGACAAGCAGAAAATGGATCTCATGTTCAGTGCTGATTGAGTTTAAAAACAGATAATGCCAGAACTTATTACAGCTGAATAAATTACAGCCTCTTGTAACGTCTTAAAGAGAAACGAGTCATTTTATGCATCAGCAGACAAATACAAGCTACAAAAATCCAATTATTCTATTAAACACAAATCCCTGTTTGTATTCTTTTTACAGAGTAACGTTATGGGAAAAAAAAACCCTAAATGTATTACTATAAAGATATTATATGTATAAAGTTGGATGCTTACAATCAGTCAGCAGATGGACTGGTTTTAAATGAGCGCCGGTTCTCCAAACAGAACGAGCTCCGTCGCTACAACGAGATCAGCTCGGCTCCCACATTCACCCCGGAGACTAAAAGGTGCTGCTGAGCCTCCATCTCGAACTGACATCATCCGTCTGGATGAGCAGCCATCGCAGCCAAAACCAACCCCGCCCGCCATCTGCTCCGAATGTGGATTTCCTCACACAGTAAAATCAGCAGAACAATGACTCCGAAGAGCTAAACTTAGACTGGACTTCAGGGAGCCACATTAGCAACACGTCGCACGCGCTAGTTTACACAGAACCTGCAAGACAACAGCAGTATTAACTTCAGTGTTTTTTTTTTACTTATTCGGGCCAAAATGACATTTACACAAATATTCAGATTAATCTCAGCAGCATTCCTGCTTTTCAAAGGAGTTTGTTTCTCTCATCTGACCATTTATGGTCTGCAGCAACAGAAAGGTCATGACCTCACATTCTAGCTAAAGTTTTGTTGTTAAATTAATAAAAACTACAACCCCCAGGCAATTAAAACATGCCTATAATAACTCATAAGTAAAGGTAAGCACTGGACTCTGCATATTTAGCTTCATCTTCACCTTGATGGGCAGAGAGAAAATGTTATTTTAACCAGAAAATATGGAACGATGTCCAAGGCTTCAATGAAAACATTGTTTCTATTTGCTGTTATTTAGTTGTCCTTTAAATTCCTACTGTGTTACGAATATAATTATTACAAGTATTAAATAAATCAAGGTGCGGGACACAGCCAGAAGTTCTTCACAGATACAGAAGCCAAGTTTTTTTTTATATATATGTTTGCATTCTAACATTTGTCTTAAGACCTGACATTATCCAGAACCTTTCAGTCTTTAGTGTTGTTATAAATCTGTAAAGTCTCACTTGAAAACATTTTGCAGATGTTACGCATAAACCATAATGAAGTAACGACAGGCTGCTAACAACAGAACTCGACGCAAAGGTATATTATTGCATGCTGTGCATTTCTCAAACGAAGCCCTTCACGGCACAATAATTTGTTCCCCCCCCCCCGAACCTGTTCTGCTACAACTAGAATAACTGTGTCGTTAAATTACCTTTTCTTTGCAGAACAGGGAAGCGTTCTGCATCCTAAAAGAGGATTCTGAAAGATGAAGCTCACACAGATGCACAATCCAATCTGCCTTGATTTAAACACAGAACACAGCGGGCCTATTTGCATAAATATGCAATATACTGTAGCGTTGACTTTTGATCATGTTAGGAAGTCTCAGGTTGTTATGAGGGAGAAGATTCAGGAACAGAAACGAATAACGGGTTTTGAAGGGAGTGTTTCCAAAAAATGCTTTTAGTTTCTCAGCATCAGAGCGCCAGTCAAGTTATTAAGCTGAAAGGCAGAAGAGGAACTCGAGGTGAAACTAATTTATTACATTTCTCACTGTTAATCATTTTTGGTGATTGCAGAATAAGTGGAGCTTATTTTGCTCCACTGCAGGGAGGAACACAGAACACCACAGTTTCCTTCTCCTGAGAAGCTCCTCCAGCATGATCCAGTGGATCTACATCATGATTTAAACGATGTTCTGATCTCTTTACTCTGAATAACGATGAGTCTGGACGTCTGCAGGCAGGTGGAAACACGTCTGAGTGGTCACGTCCAAGTTTATCTGTGTTGCTACCTGCTAACACCTTATTTTGAAAGGAACGCCAAGAGGAAACACGTTTGCAAGGTAAACTTTAAAAAAAATATATATATATTTGGTTTTTCAAGCTGTAGCTAAAATTTTAAGATAATATAAAATAAATTTGAGGCTTAGGCTGATGTCTTGAAGGAAATTATTTGAAGAAGTAGTAGCGATCAAGCATTGGGTCATGTCTTTTTTTTAATCTAAGCTATTGACCTGAAGAATATCAGCTCAAAAGGAATATATTTCCCAGCATCCTCCTCAGTGACACCAACCTAATGCTACTGACAGAGTCTTATCTGGAGTTAGTAGGAGAGATCATATCTCTCCAGTTTTAGCTTCTCTCCAATGGCTCCCTGTCAAGTCCAGAATTTAAATCAAAATCTTACTTCTAACCTACAAAGCCCTCAACAACCTAGCTCCATCTTATATTACAGATCTTTATTGTTCCATATTTTTCTAAGAGAGCACTTCACTCTTGGACTTTAGGTTTACTTGTGGTTCCTATAGTTTCCAAAAGCAAAATGTGAGGAAGATCTTTCAGTTATCAGGCTCCTCTCTTGTGGAACCAACTTCCAGTTTCTGTCCATGAGGCCGACACATTGTCCAGTTTTAAGACTGGGGTTAAGACTTTCCTTTTTGATAAACCCTTTAGTTAATGTTGGTGTGTTATGCTGCTATAGGCTTAAACTACTGGAGGACAAAATGACCTTATTTCTTAAATGAATTGTTAAAATTGAATAGTTTTTATTTGATACTATTTCTATCGTAACATGTGATTCTCGACATGCCATTGTGTATCTGTTCCTTTCAAACTCAGCTGGTCGAAGCAGATTGCCGCTTGTCCTGAGCCTGGTTCTGTTAAAGGTTTCTTCCCCGTGAGGGAGTTTTTCCTTTCCACTGTCGCCTTCATGCTCAAGACGAGAGTTCTGAGATGGAGTTAAACTCAAAGCAGTCTGCTCCTCAGATAAATAATGTTATTAACTTACTTTTTATGTAGATGAATGTTTCTGTTCAGTGCCCTGAGAAGTCGTCTGTTGTGACTTGGTGCTAGATAAATAAACTGAATTGAATTAAACAGATCCTCCTTCATTAAATCCATGACCGTCTGGTCTTCAGCTCTTTCTCCCTAGCACTTCCATCCTTTGTCGTTCCTCCAAACAGCTCAACCTGAGCTGTCCTTCAAATTTCTTCATTTCTAACCATCACTCTCAACAAAAACCTAAACACCTTCTTTTCAGTCTGTCTTTCTGCTAGCACAATTGTCTCCAAATGTCATGTCATAGCAGGTCTCACTACCATCTTGCAGCTCTCTCACCTCCGTCCACTCCACCTTTTTCACCTCTCTCATTCACCACTTGTTGCTTTAAATGCTTGCTCTCATTTTAAATAACAAAACAAGTGAATCTGTGTCATATTCATTCATTTTGAGACATTTCTTGGAGATCAACAAAATCACAAAACCCCACGACTTGAAGAAAGATTGGCTTGAATCTGAATGTGACAGAATTTAAACTATGACTGAATTAAACTCAGCTGAAATCAGTTTCAATTTGTAAATTTGTTTAGTTTTTCTTCTAAACTTCCTTGCTGCAAAACATTTCCTCATCATCTGGTAACACTTCTGCACTAAGAAAAAAAAGAGCAGGAACAAAACGTATTGTGGTAAAAAAAAAAAAAAAAAAAAAAAAACAGACAAAATAAAAACACAAAAAATGTAAACAAATTAAAAAAGTTTGTTAGAAATTAACCAAAACTTTTAGGAGAGCATGTGCTGCGTTACGTTTATTTTTGATGGGAGACTTCAGGTCGTTTTAAACTCTTCAAGTAAATGAATGAAGCGGCATGGCACTTTTTCTACATAACATCTGCTTTTTGTATGTGAAACACATTTACACATCTGGAGTATTTCGCCCTGCTGAAAACAGCTGTGCATCCTCCTAACATTAGAAAGTTACAGCATTCAGTTTTTCCCCAGTGGTAAGTAAAGAAACAACTGGTAGTAATTCTCATATGAAGACTATTTTTGAGTCCTTTTCTCCAGGAAAGTGAAAAAGGTAAAAAGTTTAACACTGACAATGCTTCTAAAACTCTTTTAGTACAATGTAAGTACTTTTATGCTGTAAACTGGTAATTCATGCAAAGTTCTGCTGCTGATCCATTTGCCTTGAGAGCCGAGAAGCAACAAGAAATTACCACAATCTGTTATATTCCTCAAATGATTGATGTTTGACTGAGATTCCTGTCACGTATTAGCCCTCGTACATCAGTCAAACACCTGCTGTTTTGACTTTTTGTTGCTGCCCGCTCCCTTGCAACACAATGAAAAGCAAAATGCACATTCTCAGCCTAGAAAAACCTCAACTAACACCAACAGCAACAACTAGAAGATAAAATTAAACATAAGGAGCTAAAGAAATGTACTTGAACCTATAATCCAGTGGCCTGGATTTCAACTCTAAAATTAGGCCCGCGACTAGATAAAGTGTTATGCTTAACAGGAAGTGGAACACGTGAGATTTTAGAACATGCACGCATTTAGGCTGAGCCGTTTTAAAGAGAAAGTGGGACTGAAGAGCAAAGGGACGAGACCTTCCACTGCAGCGTTCAATTAGAGCAGCCAGGACGTGAATGCTAAAGCAGCAGGTGATAAGACAAAAGAGCCATACGATGCTAAAAGATTGATGAGAACATACCTGTCTCGCCCCACAGAGTGTCATGACTATCAATTTGCACAGCATGCTCATTTTTCAGTGCCAGCAGGTCCTTCACAACCTGCCAGGAAAGAGAAACTTAGATTAATGGCATACAGTCTGAGCACAAGACATCAAGTAAACCTTTAAGAGGATATGCAAAATGCTAATTCTGAACTGCAAAGACAAAAAAATAAAAAATAAAATAAAATCCTAGAAATTATTATAACTGATTGACAGATCTGAAGATTGTCCTTGGATCAATACACAAGGTTATACACGTCGATTCCAGTGTGATTAAAGCTAAACGTGGTTTTTGTTTTATATACGGATTGACATCTTAGTTTAGTCCATTTCTCTTATTTTAAGTCGAGCTTTGTGATTTCAATTCCAGTTCAGGAAGCTAAAATAAACCTGCAGTTTACACCTGAACAGCTGAAAGCACTGTGATGATCCCCAAATCTAACTATCAGCCACGCAGCGCTATAGACTGAGTCATCCCCACTGAGAAACCTCCCCTGAGATCTTTATCCTCACACTCATTAATCCCTGCATTTTGATTGCTTGTCGAGTACATTTCACCGTGTCCCTCAGACCTGTGTGTGTCCCATGCTCGAGGCTGCAATCAAAGCCTGCTGCAGGGCTTTGTTCTTCAGAGAGCCGTCCTGCTGCTGCCCCTCAGCGCTCCATTCCAGCTCCAGCAGGTACTGGATTATCTCGGGGTGTCCTCGCAACGCAGCGTGCACCAGAGCACACTGGCCACTCTTATCAACATGATCCACCTGGCAGGAATACAAGATTCTTGGAGTTACTGCACAGAAGCAGGAAACATGCCAAATATTTGAGGTATCGTATTTTCCGATGTATAAGTTGCATCAGTCAAAAAAAAAACATCATGAAGAGGAACAAAAACATATATAATCAGCGTGTAAGTCGCATTTATTATGCATCACCGCTGACCCGTCGTGTTTATTTAATGGTCAAAACAGCTTAATTTCGCCTGAGCGGTGCGGCTCCATCCAGCCATCCATCGCAGCCGAAGCCGCTAGCTCTCCAGCGTTGCTCCAACTGCACCAGCTGAGTGAAGCGAGCGTGCACGGGAGGACTCGCTGTTGCAGTTCTTCGAAATTTAAGACATCAGTCAAAAATTGCGTTATGAATATGGAAAAAAAAGTATATAATTCGCTTTGGCGTATAAGGCGCAGGACTGACAAATCTATGCAAAAAACTGTGACTTATACGCCGGAAAATACGGTAAATGTGTTGCAAACAGCCGATATATGAAAAAGTGATTTAACGCCTTTAATTACAAAATCAATCATCGCCGTAGCAACAAGTGTATGGAAGTTTCATTTCTCACCTTGGCTCCCTTGTTACAGAGCAGCATTACTAGTCCCAGGTGTCCTGCAGCGGCCGAGAAGCACAAGGGGCTCATGCCACTTTCGGACACGACGTCTACGCTGGCGCCAAACTCAAGCAGCAGAGAGGCGATCTCATGGTGGCTGAGGTGGCACTGGACGCAGAGCACCGGGGCGTTGTTCAGAACCTCGGTGCGGTAATTCACGTTAGCTCCTCCCAGCATCAGGAGTCGGCTGACCTGATTAGACAAACACAAAAATAATTAACAGCCGAGCATCAGTGAAGGAACAAGCTCATCTTTTGATGGGAAAAGATAAACGTCAGTGGCGTTACCTTTCATCAAAACTCTGTAAAAGACAATTTGTTTTGTCTCGTGATCTTGTGAGGTGTTAGTGCAGGGACTGAGGTGGAGATGACTCTTGGCTACTACCACCCCAAGACTTAGCTCAATATATTTACATTTTTTTATCTTTATTGAAATAATACAAAACAGTACAATAAACTGCAATATACAGTAATGATATGACACCCGCCAGGGGGTTACAATCATTGAGACAATACTTTATAATAATATATTACATAAATACATTAAGAGAGCACATAAGGTGCAAGTTTTAATAGCCTTCGTGTTGGTGGAATATTTAATAGTTTTGATATATTGTTTGACCTCATTTTCAAAAATGGAGATAAGCGGTTTTTGATTACTGTAACAACATTTGTAAATATGCCATTTGGCTATAGGTATATAATAAGATTAATAATATATAATTGGGTTTTTTTTTAGCTGTTGGGTAGTCAATGAAGCCTAACAATACATGTTCAAAGCAAAGGGACAGATCTGGTTCAATAAAAGTAGAAATCAAAATGCAAATAATTTTCCAAAATTGAGTCGAGAAGGGGCAAGACCAAAATAAATGAAAAACATATTCTGGGTTTCCGTCACAAAAAGAGCAAATTATTATATTTATATCCTTGTTAAACTGTTGGAAATAAATTTTGGATGGGTAAAATCTGTGAATAATTTTAAATGATACTTATCTTACTTTATTATTCATCATGTATCTGGTTAGTAAAGTCCAAATCCTTTTCCAGTTAAGGTCACTAATAAAAGTGTTCCACTAAGGTAGCACATATGGCGTTGACACAACATCTTTCTGAAATAGCGAGCGTATACGACGGTTGCTATTGAGAGTTGAAGAGAAGCAGATTTGACCAATTTCAAGTTTGGTTGGATCAAAGGGTAATAATGTTGGATTCTGTCCTGCTGTACATCTATGTAAAACAATTACTCCAGTGAGGATTGCATTTATTACAATATTAAATTTGTTACTGGGGATCATAATGTTATATTTTATGACAAATTCTTAATATGACATTAATGATCCATCAAGGTTGAGCAACTGACGAACTAAAACTATGTTGTGGGCAAACCAGTTAGAGTAAAATAAGCATTTGTTTTTATGCAAGATGTCTTTATTGTTCCAAATATAATATCTGTGTGGGGAGAAATTATGCTTGTAAATCAATGACCAAGAGAAATATCTTTACAAATTGTTAGGGTGGCAGCCATCTTGAATTAGGATGACTCCAAAAGTTAATAGTTGTTGATGTGCACCCATTGATTACTTTCTCAAAGTTTTACTAAAGTTTGCGAAGTGGTTCATGAAATATTTTGCTAACAGACAGACAGGGTGAATGCCAAAAGTCACTATAGATGCTTTAAGGAACAATAGTTATCAAAGTATGTGTTGGGGATGATGACCCTCAGCTACTACCATAGAACATTTTAGCTCAATATCCTTAAAATTAGTTGACTTATAACCTTTATTATGTTGACTAAGATCAATTGACTGCGATGACCATTTTATTGGGCTTCACTTCAAAAGTTAATCAGTTGTAGTTTTGTATCTAATGATTACTTTCTAAAAGTTTTAATAAAATCCATCCACTGGTTCACGAGATAGTTTGCAAACAGACAGGCAGAGTTTGTTCTGCAATAAAAGCCATAAAATAATTCATACAGCTGCTGTTGGAAAAATGGTATCAAAGTCAAAGTTTATTGCACTTATGTGCACACATTTCTATGGTTCTACGCTGTTCAGAAGCTTAAAACGAGTCGACTAGGACGCAGAAATGAGAGACTAACAGCTGCAATGGCATTTTAAAATGAATTCTTTGCTGTATGTAAATCTTTCATCCTTAAGTATTCCTCTTGAGTCTCTGAATGACTCGGGGACTTGTAGATACCGCTGTGTCCTCGATGACTGCCTCAAACTCCTCAAGCAAAGGTCAGACACCAAATAAAGTGGATACAAATACTGAACGCAATTATCAAGTTTGCTTTACTCTCCAATCAGGACCAAATCAATAATAAACAACTTATCAAACAAAACTGTACCGCTAAATGAGAATTCTGCAACAGGAGGGGAAATTGTGTGTAGAATCAATTATCAAAGGACAACAACAAGGTCGTTGTGCAAACGTCTCTTTGAGTGATTCTATGAGAAAGTCCAATAATTCACATCGGACAAATGATGGAGCCTCGCTGAAACCAGAACCTTAATGGCAAAGAAAACCAATTTTGTCGTGAGCCAGAATACATAACTTTGATGAAATAGACTTTCCAGAAAAGGCCGATCATTTATTCCCCCTGAAAACACAACGTGCACACGCAGTTGTTCTTTGTTAGCAGCTTAATGAACTCTACAACCAGCGTTAGCCTAATTAGTGAAGAAAATAGGGTGGTTGGTATTTACTGAGCCCTTTTGTACGGAGCTCCAAAAGTGACAGATTATTAACAGCGATGAGTCTTAAGTGACTCTCTGAATAAATATTACCAACATGGAAGCAGAGCTTTTTTGTATTATTTTCTGCTCCCAATATATCTTGAACTGGTCTTTGGTTTCAGTTTTCTTCATGTTTTCCAATTTCATTATAACATTTTTAATTTTCCACGTTGCTTATAAAAAAAAAAAAAATTGGAATATGTGACTAACATCTACTGACATCGTTTGGGACAGAGAAAAACATCTCATCTAAAAGTGATGCATTAAAACTGGTTCATGCACGTGTCACGTCTAGACTGGACTATTGCAATGGTTTGTTATCTGGACGTCCAAATACTTCTTTAAAATAACTTCAGTTGATCCAAAATGCTGCTGCCAGAGTCTTAACTGGAGTTAGTGGGAGAGATCATATCTCTCCAGTTTTAGCTTCTCTCCATTGGCTCCCTGTCAAATCCAGAACTGAATTCAAAATCTTACTTCTAACCTACAAAGCCCTCAACAACCTAGCTCCATCTTATATTTGAGATCTTATTGTCCATATTTTCCTAACAGAGCACTTGCTCTCAGACTGCAGGCTTACTTGTAGTTCCTAGAGTTAATGGGAGGAAGATATTTCAGTTATCAGGCTCCTCTCCAGTGGAACAAACTTCCAGTTTCTGTCCATGAGGCTGACACATTGTCCAGTTTTAAGACTTTCCTTTTTGATAAATCCTTTAGTTAGTGTTGGATTGTTATGCTGCCACGGGCTTAGACTACAGGAGAACAAACCTCATTTTGACCTCATTTTTTAAACGAATCGCTAAAATTGAATAGTTTTCATTTGCTATTATTTCTGTCGTAACATGTGATTCTTGACCTGCCATTGTGTATCTGTTCCTCTCAAACCCAGCCAGTCGAAGCAGATGGACGCTTGTCCTGAGCGTGGTTCTGCTAAAGGTTTCTTCCTCATGAGGGAGTTTTTCCTTTCCACTGTCGCCTTTGTACTTGCTCGAGATGAGAGTTCTGTGATGGAGTTAAACTTAAAGCAGTCTGCTCCTCAGATAATTAATGTTAACTTATTATTTTTTCTATTTGAATGTTTCTGTTCAGTGCCCTGAGATGACGTCTGTTGTGACTTGGCGCTATATAAATAAACTGAATTGAATTGAGAAATGACCGGTAAATGTCTGGACATGATTTTAAGCAGTGACAGATGCTTTATTGCAGGAAGAAAAATAGATACAGGCACTGAAAATAAGATACAATGAGTAATAATTGCTTGCTTGATCTGACAATTAATAAATAAATACATAACATTATTTTACTTTAAGTGGCCTTAATTAATAAAAAAAACCATCCTTTGAATCTATTAATCAGATGCTGAGCTCATTCTTCCACCTCTCTTTTACATAGACGCAGAACAAAACAACACAAAGAGCGTGCTCACCTTGACATTAGGTGTGTAGAGGTTCCTCAGGGAAGCCAAGGCTGCAGAGAGTCCATCAGCACTGCAGCTGATCCACAAAGCCTGAAGCACACTGGACGACACACCTGTTTTCTTACTCAGTCCCTGCAGATGAACAAAAACATGCAAACACCTGAATTTAACAGCAATAACACTGAGCTGTCAAGGCTTTCTCAACATTTTAAAATTTGACTTTTAAAAAAGTTTTCCCCAGAAGATGGGACTTTTAAAATGAATGCCAGCTCAGTAGCTGCACCTTGAATATGTGGGCCTTCAGGATGTGGTGCCCCAGCTCCATGGTCTGCTGACGATTCAGTTTCCCTTCTTGGCGAGACAACATGAAGGCCATGAAAGCGTGGCCACTCCTGAGTTAGAAACCAGACAGACAAAAAAAAAACATGCAGTTAAAACTAGGAAAGACCGTTCATCTGCATCATACAACATGAAAGCACTAATCATTCTGGTAATAAAGGCCAACTTGGCTGCGTCATGGAGAACCTCTTGATTCTGAGCCAGTGTGAATGATGTGCAGTGATCCACAGAAAAGATGGTGAAAAATGTAATTAATAAGAAAACAAAATTATACAGAATAAACCAGTCATTTACTTCTTCGCTCTGGCACCAATTAAAGCCGAAATTCATTAAAAGGACATGCATGACTGCAGCTCGCTTTGATCTGGTTACAATTCTCCCTGTTTGTGCCAGAATGTATGAGCTTTTTGTTTTTAATGAAGTTGGAAGGTTGTGAATGAGCAGAATATGAATCTTGGCGCTGATTCATTTACAGACATCAATATGTGAGTAGAGGTATGTGGAAGGGGTTGGGAGACAGTCAAACTGACATCATTCAGCTTATTAAGTATGTATGAAAGTTGCAAGTCTGGATTTTCAAATTCTTCAGACATTTGAAACAGTCTGTCTCAGAGAGCAAGAACAGCCCAAGAATAAGTGACATATTTTATAGCTTCTTTATGACAGCATGTACAATGTCAAAGTCACAGTTTCAGAAATGCAATAAGACAAAAACTGTGTTTTTGATTTAATTAAAACATATTTTCATATACTCTGTGCGCAGCAATGCAGTTGTAAAGGGGCGTTGTTGCAAATTGCTTTTAACACCGTGCACAATAAGACATTGTCAGGATTATTGGTGTACCTGCTGCATCTCAAACACAATTACCTCGCTGAGTCAGAAGTGGGTGTCGTGCTGTGTATATTGATTCAACTTATTCTTTATACACACTCCCTCCCCTGCGTGCAAAACAGCAACAGCCACAAAAAGCAAATGCCACCAACAGTTAATTGGAAGTCATATTGTGAAATAAAAACTCATTAAACATTTGTTTTGTACATAAGTGTGTGCTGTCATCTTTCATTTTGACATCAAGGGTTGAATTCCCATCCAAACTCCAGAATGCTTTATTTTTATTGCAGCTAAATTATCGACAAACCCTTAACTGTAATCTGCTGTAGACTTTCATTCAACCTTTATTCATACAGGTCAGTCTCATTGAGCGTCGAGGACTCATTTACAAGAGACCTGATTTGAACAAAGAGTGATGACAACAAAGACAACAGCAGACAATCATAAAAGAAAGCATATAAATTGGGAAAAATGAATGCAAGAAAATGTAAAAAAAACAACAAAAAAAAACAGCTAGATAAGTAAAGTGATGTAAAATACTAAAAACAGGAACATGTCTGTGTTGGGTTTTGCCAGGAACTTAGCTGTTTAAAGTCACTTAGAGAGGTCAAAGTTGATAGCTTCAAATCTTTTTGCAAGATATTCCAGAAAACAGGAGCAGAGTAGGAGAAGGTCCTTTAGCCTAGTTCAGTCCGCACTGAGGGAACACTGCAGGTAATAATGTCCTGAGAGTGCACGCTGTAGCTGCACTCACAGTGATATGTAGGAGGAGGTGTATGAAGGCAGCAGACCAAGTGATTTAAAGATGAAAATGTAACAGTGAGAGAGTCTGCGTGAAGTTAATGATGTCCAGTTAACCAGTGAATACAGGGTGTAATGGTCGGTATCATCAGCATAAAAATCTAAGGATGCATCAGGGATGATCTGACCTACATTACCTATGTAGATTGTGAAGAGGGTGTGTCCTAAGACTGAGCCTTGTGGTACACCATTGTTAACTGTTAAAAAACTGGAAGAAGCACCTTTAACTGACTAATTAATTGACTAATTGACTGACTAAGGGGTGTGTTTGCACGCTGCATGATCCCTGATGCTTTACAAGCTTATCATGTACAACAGAAGCCCACGTTTCAAAGAGTGGATTATCTTTGCTCATAGAGCAAAGGACTGACCTGGGGTCACAGAGGAAATCTGTGCTTTCTCCATCAGCTCTCCACACCAACCACTCTCTGAAGGAGGGGTGGCAGAACATGCGCGTCTTGTCCCGTCGTTTGATGAGAAAACCAGAGAGCAACTCCAGGCGCTGCTGAAAGTCCTCCCACGGCAGCTCGCCCTGGACGAAGCCAGCGTTGATGGCCTGAAACAGCTGCTCGTCGGTCATGGGGTGCAGTGAGGCCAGAGCCACATTGAGGATGGGCAGGGAGCGCTCGAAAGCCGAGTTGGTCATGAACTTCATATTGCACTGTAGCTGGTACAGTTCAGCCAGCGACACGGGCACCACTTTGTAGCTGGAGCTTTTGATCACCAGGTGGCCTTTCTCAAACAGATCTAAGGTGAGTTTGAGGTACAGGTAGGAGCCCTGGCTGCGTGAGATCAGGTGGCTGCTGAGCTTGCTCACGGTGCCAGGGTCGGCCTTGCCGTTCAGGCTGATATTGTTCATAATATCCTTGCTGTTGTTGATGCGATGCTGGATGTATGCATTCAGGTCAATGCTTATGTCCTTGTTGTCAGAAAAGTCATCCAGGGAGATTTTAGAAAAGGGCAGAAGGCTGGTGATCTCCTGAGAAGAAAAAAGTAGAGACATTCAGCGATAAAGAACATTTGGGCAAAATTTCTGCTTAATTATTGCCCACTTGTGAAGGCAACCAAGATTTTGCCCTTTGACTTGTGTTTGTTTGTCTGTAACACTTGCAAAACCAGATTAAGCTCTGGAGTCAACCCAATTCAAGATGGCTGCCACAGCTAACGGTTATTAGCCAACACAAAAACAGCCATAACTCAGTCAATTTTATAGACAATGAGCTAAAAATTGGTGTGGTAATAGTTGAGAATAATTCACAACACATACTTTGAGAGCTAACAAATTGTGCAACATTGCACATAACATTTTTTGTCAAGATTTAAACAAAATCAAGACAATCTTAGTTTAAATCTCTGGCCTGAAAGGTGGCAGATGACGTGCATTCATTCAAGTTATGCTAGGCCTTTAATATCTCTCTAATTTTAAATAAACCATCTATAAAACAATAAAAATATCATTGTATTTAAACTGTTCAAATAGCTCTTTCTGCAAAAGTGTATTTTTTGCAAAAAGTCCACGTCAAAAGTTGTCTTTGCAATCTGAGCTGTTGACGTAAATTCTGCTTGTGCACATTTATTACCAGAGGAGTCTTTGCGCAGCAGGAAGCAAAGCTCGCTGAGCTATCAGGCCAAAACAGACATTTTTTTACAGTTAAAAGTGTGGCTACGAAAAAGACAAGACGGTAAAAATGAGTATTAAAAGGCAGGGGATGGATGTGATGGTGGCTAGCAGGCAAGCAGAGGTCTTAGCCAAAGCTCACATTTCAGTCCGTGTCTTGGGGGCTGGAGGAATCAATGCACCTTAATCCTGCAATCCTCTGCCTGTCTGAGGCAGGAGAAACATTGCCTCTGTGAGATAACACTTCTCTGTTCCACATCATGACAAGGTACAGCAAACAGGCTCATAGTTTGCACACAGGCACAGACAGGATGAGTGAATGTGCTGAGATCATAATCCATAAGACAAATGAAGCGTAAGCAACACCTTGCAGATAAACCAAATATTAGTCTATCAAGCAACAAAAGCAAGAACGCAAACAAGTTCTGGGGCTGTAACAAATATTCTGTTTTCATAATGAATAACTGCTTCAACGTGTTCATCAGAGGATCCCTAATTAAAATATTAACACAAAATGAATGCAAATGATCGGACGTATTGATTTATCACAGCGAGTGATCCTTTCCATTAACAGAACTCTAAATAGAGTGGAGAATTCAAATAAATGGCTTGAATTCATGCTGCATATTGATGGACAGAAGTTGATGCTTGGCTTCTGCCTGAACATTAATAACCTCCACTCTGGATGTCAGTCAGCTACCACGCCATTATCCAAGACTCCGTCGGTTGTCGCTTGGCTCACCAGGCTTGCCAAAACCTCGTCTGAAGCCAGAGGGAGAGCTCGACACAGCCTTGGAAGATCTTTGTAGGTGTTTCACCGAGGGTCATCAAGTTAGTCGGCTCAAAGTCAGTTGGCTGCTCTTTCCTGCCTTGCAGTACGGGGTCCGGGGTCACTGTCTGCCAAGTTCTTCATGAATATTCCTGGATATGCCAGACTTTTTCGACAGGAAGTCTCACGTGTATGAAAATTGACAGTCTGATGTCATAGAGCATCTTGAGAAGTGACAGCAGATCACACAAGTTTTCTTTTTTCTATGTTCCAACAGTTATATTGAGGGGATTTACGCTCACATACTACTAACTGTTATCTATCAAGGTTGTTTAGAACTTGTGTAAAAAACTCTATTTTAAAACAAGCCTTTCTGGCACAACTCAACACAGTCCTTTTTTTTTTTTTTTTTAAATAACGATTTATCTTGCTTACCAACAAGTTGACCCGGACAGTGACCACCAACTTAAGCCAGGGAGGGAACTTGGTAATGATCTTAGTGATGAAAGAGGCAATGGTGTCTCCATAATCAGGTTTATGAAACTCTGCTTCGTTCAGCCCATCTATCAAAATGATGTGGTCATCCTCTGAAATTTTCCTCTCTGTAAACATAAAAACAACAGGGAGATGAAGCTCAAGCTAATATTAACTAAAATATCTACTGGTGAAAATTCATAGAGGAGCTTTAGGTTGTAAAATTTAACACTGAACATGTAATAATACTTTTAGTAAGAGGAGATGTACTTGGAGGAGTAATGTACTGTACACAAGGTAGGAGGGAATAAAAATCACCCCCTGTTGCTATCTTGTAAAGGTTACATAATGTGGAAGAAGGATTAAAGTAAGCTTTTATGTATAAATTCTGACCAGCGCCTCAAAATGAATAAACAGAAATCTCAATCAATATTTGGTGTGAACACTTTGTCTTTAAAACAGCATCAATTCTAGGTATTTTTGTAAACAATTTTTCAAGAAACAGCAGGTAGATTGTTCCGAGCATCTTGAAGAACAAACCACAGATTTCTGTGGATACAGACCGACTCAAATCCTTCTGCCTCTTCCTGTGATCCTAGACACTCAGTGTTAGCGATGTCATTTCTAACCTGAACCCGGAGCCCAACCTGGATTCGGACCGGGTTGGTCCATAATAATGTGCTTAATGTGCGGGCCGGGTCGGGCCTTTGATTGTGTCGCGGCTCATGATCCAATTATATGGCAACATGGCTTGCCATGCCACACGCGGCCATTTCACCGCGCACTGACTGGCCTTGAAAGAGGTAAAAAGTTAATTTAAGCTTCAGATGGAGTACTGCCAGAGATCCATCGCCCAAATGGACGTTCATTCAGTCGCTGCACTCAGCGGACGTGCGCGGCCGAATACCCAGACAGGCGAGATCACAAAATATCTGACATGTCAGCGCAGGGTCCATGTCTGAATAATGCTGAATGCAGGCAGAAGCAGGGGAAGGATGCGCTTTGACCACCATGAAATGACAAACACCCCCTCAGTTCCGATCTTCTGCCCTCTTTATTCAGTCACACGCGTCCGCCGACCAGCAGTCAAATCTTAATTAAAAATGTCTGGGGGGAGGGTGTTCAGGTTCAGACCTGTAATTACTGTTAATTCGTTGGATCGGGTGGGGTTCGGAAATGATGGCTACTGGCTGGGGCCGGGTCGGGTCAGATTTTTTGAACCCAAATACAACTCTACTCAGTGTTGATGTCAAAGCTCAGTGCTGACTATACCATCACTTCCAGGATTCTGTGCCCTTCTTTACTATGAATACAATTCTTAATGACGCTTGCTGTTTGGGGCCATTTTTTGATGGTATTGCATGACAGATATCTGCTTCTCAGCACGAAGAGCACCATGAATCTTGACCAAACCTCAGTTCTGCTTCATTTGAAGAAATGCAGCCCCAATCTTACATGAAACCTCTATCATGCAATATTCCACCCCCAGAAACTCTTTATGGTCTTTAATTACGCATTCTTATATTTTTGTATATAGTTGTGCCACTTGTTTCCACACTTGTTTTTTTGAGCTATACTTCTTTGATGAAGACCATATCTGGTATGATTCCCCAGACAGTTGATGGGTGTACCTGTGTCTCACGGGTTCCTGCCAACTCTGTGCTGATGATAATGCTAAAGATTTTGATTTCAAAGCGTAGTAAAACATGTGTCTTACAACTAAGCTTTCTCAACTTTGCCATTTCTTTGTCTCTCTTCAAAAGAGCTGAAACAGCACATCTTGAAGCCTGAGTCTGTTCTGGAATCGTTGCTTGATTTAGATCAAATACTTTGTCTCTTATTGCTGTGTTCAGTCTTGCCAAGGTGTCTGATCTGTGACATGAAACTTTTTTCCATGTCGCAACAAGTAGCAGAGTTTGGCAGTTTTAGGTCTCCTACAGCTGTCTTTGTTCAACCTAATGACTATGAAAATGATGACCATCAGCACCTGTCAGGTGTAAAAAGTCAATGATACTCCTGAATACAACTTTTTAAAATGACTGACATAGTACAAGTATACATTTTAAGAACTGATGCTGTTTTGAAGGAAAAGGGTCATCACACCAAATATTTTAGATTTTTCTTTTACTGGCTCACTTTGACTTTTGGAAAAGGACAAAAAACAACAACTTACGTATGTGAAAGCATTCCTACTCTTACTTTACAGAATTTTTGGAAACCTATCTAAATTTGCACAACACAATAGTGTTGACTCCAAGACACAGCTGCAAGGGTTTCCAAAGGCTAACTGAACAATTCACAGTTTTTAAGAGCTAAATCCAGAATGTCAACAAGCTAAATGACTTGAAAATAAACTAGATGTTTTTCTTTTTACCTTTACGAAGGTTAGCCAGTGGTTCCAGGACCCCTCTTCGGAAAGCAGCCATGGGGTCTTGGACACAGGAGCGCAGACTGAGCATGCTCTGGAGGTGGGGCTCCTTCAGCAGCAGCTCTCGGTACGCAGAGAGCTGATGTGCTCTGCACAGCAAGGCTGCGATACTGTGTACAAATTCTGGCACCAGGCAGGTGTACGTGTTATCCGCCTGGCAATAATGATATGCAACCACCTGAAAGGAGGAGAAAACAAGACGAAAGTCAGTTGAAGCAGAGTTTTTGGAGCTGAGGTTAGCAACCCTTCAGTGACTACAAAGCATTTGCAAAAACCAACAACTCTGGTTACTACAAACAAATTTTATACAATAGATTTCTAGCCTCTTTAAAGCCACATATAATCTCCGCAAACAAGCTGAGACAAAGATTTCATCCACCTCAGTCGACACAGAACAGATGACAGAATATTAGGATGACTTTTCACCACTTTACGACCTTCAAATGAGCCAATGGAATGAGAGTGAACTTAGTGAAAGCAGAACTTTTTGTGACTGAATAAGGCTGATTTTAAAAGGAAGGTGAGGGACAGAGATGAGAAGAGGAAAAGAGAAATACTCCTGAGATATTTTTACCAATTACAGTCGTACCAGAAGGAGCTGACACACTTTGAAAGGCAGGTAGAAGGAGGAGTTTTATCTCATTATGCTAATACTGGAAAAACAATACTGGCTCAATAATACACTTATTATTATTATCAATATTACTTATATGTACTATTATAAACCCGATTTTAACAAAACTTTTTACCAAGACATTATAATACAGATCTAAACATGAATTTACCATAAATTGTCACTTTTTTGTTGTTAATGCATCTGTCCAAAATACAATAACTTACATGTGAGGTTTTATGTTATCTTCTAAAATACATCATCTAAATATAAGAGTAAAGCTGCCAAAAGGATTGTACTGAAGAGAGCCATATTAATAAAATTAAATAAACAAATTAGGGATGCACAATATTATCGGCATGGTATCGGCCGATATTAGCGATAGTTAAATATAATAATTCCATTAAAAAAACTCACCAATATAAAAGGCTTCTGTTTTAAGTTAGTTTTTAATTTAAGAAACAGCCAAGTACAAGTATATATATTAAAGCACTACTACTTATGTGCTTTTCACTTGTTGCTTGTGAACAGGTTGAGTTTAGATTTGTGACAATTCACAAATTTGCACTGTTCGATTGTTGTCATTGTGTTAGAGAGAGTAAATGTCATGAATAAATTTGACATTAAACATAATCCAAGTTGAAGTGTTACACCATTTTCAGCCCCTTTTTGGCATCTGCATTTAGTAGCAGGCCAAACTGACAAAGACCCTGCAGAATAATGTAGCATTTTAATTCCACAGCAGAGAAAGCTATGCCATCTCTGTAAGTAGGTCTAAGGGGAAAAATGTCGGTATTGGTATCGGTTATCGGCCAAATAAATTTGAAGATATTGGCATATCGGACGAAAATCCAACATCGTGAATCCCTAAAAAAATACTATGACTCAGTCACGTAAATGTAAAGCATTTTCTCATTTATCTGCTCCAGATGTCTGGAACCAAGTTAGGTAGGGACAGCATTAATCAGTTCAAGGGAGAATACATACCTTTAAGCTTAGAGTAACAACAACTAACATACATCATCTGCAATACACAGTAGTTATTTATAAATAACAAAACTGGAATGTGTTTTTTTTTACAACACAAGAAGCAAACATCTAGGGGAACAAGCAGAAACTGCAGAAGGCATTAGTCGATAAAGCTGCTGCAAGAAAACATGAGAGGGAATATCAAAAAGGGGCAAGTGGAAACTGTAAGGCAACCTGTGCTTTCTATAAGCACAAGAAATCCAGAGAACTGCATCAATAAGCAATGTAAGAAAGGATGATGCAACACTGCAGTGAACCTGCAGTTGTTAATCTAAAACTTCAAATTCATGTCAAGAAACAAATGTCTAAAGTGTGCTCTGTAATACGAATACGGCATAAATCTTGTGATACACCATAGCATGTAATAGCTTCAGAGCCCTGTTATGAGACCACTTTTAAATCAGTGATTAAAAGGAGCTGGCAAAATTTGACAGAAGCTGCTCAATGTTGCATCAGAGTTCATACATCACAGGAGTAGAGTCCCCGAGAGAGCGCCTATTGGAAACACTTTACTCAGTAATTGGCTCAAGAGATATTTCTTGGGTTTCACAGACATTTAGGATCTCAGTGCATACATAGTTAGTTATCTAGTGGATGAACTGTCCCAATGGCAAAAGAAACCTGTGCAATATCAATGTGTGCTACTACGAAGGCACCCATGGCAGGATGAGCATGCTCAAGTTAAAACATGTTATGAGAATACTAGGCAGCATTAACCAAAGTACAAGGCAGGATCAACAATGGATGTCTGATTCAGTGGGAAAAAGCTCATAACAGGACTAATTATACCAGTTTCAAAACCTAACAAGCAGTCATCAGTAGAGCTGATCATATCTAGCTAACGCCACGGTGAATCATAGATCTTCTTTGCTTTTGTGTTAACTTAAAATGTTAGAATCAGAATAAACTTTATTGGCATTGCACCGAGATACAACGTGAATATGTACGTACAGTCGTCCAAAAGATGGGCAGAGTGCACAAATCTGCGGCTATAAATAGCGCGGCCTTCTTATTCAGAATAATAATTTGCTTAGATGAGAAAAGGGAAGAAAACATGAGGAGAGACAGTATAAAAAAAAGATCTCTCACGCCGTGTCCTAGACAGGGCACGATTTGAGGCATCAAAAACCTACCACAGCAAAGCAACATAAACAGACGTTATACATGTACATATAGGCCGGTGAAGACATTGAATATTTAAGGGAAAGTCGTAGCATAGTCCAGAGCCCCCCCTCTCAGCCATTGTCCAGATAAGAGGTGACATTCATCATCAGCTCAGTTGAGGTTCTGTCACATGTCCACGGCCTTGGGGAAGGGAATGGTGAGGAGACAGTCAAAGCATCTTTGTTGTTTTCAAAACATTCCAGAAGGAGTTGAGATAAGTCCGGCGTCAAGGCCACAGTTTGGGTCAGACAGAACTCGTGAATTGCTGTTTCTGCCTTTTTAAAGTCTCGCTGGTATATATTCCTCTAATGGAACTCCAAAACAGCCGAATTGATCCTTTACGCCAAAAGTCGAGCTCACAGCTTCTCCAAGATTATTTCCACCGTTCATGGGTGCTGCCAGAAAGTTCACTGTCCTGATAACAGCCTGCTCCAGCTCCCTGCTGCAGCTCCCCAAATTCAGTCTGAGTGTTGTCGAGTTTCGAAACATCCACCCAAATTTATAGACAATCCAGAATTCACCAACCAAACAGCAAAAATATCCAGTTGTCATTATGAATCCAATTTGTTTCCGTCGAGATAAGAGGGTCCTCCTTATGCCCTGACTCCTGTCGGGAGAAGTTGATCAATTTTGTTGAGAGATCAGCGTATGCAGAAAAAACAAAAAAGAGGTTTTTTTTAAGGGTTCACAGGACAAAAGAGTGTAAGCAGGGAAGCGGG